ATGCCCTCCATCCGACACCTGAAGCTCTGCTGTAAACGACCCGAGCTCCTTGCATGCGTGGCGCAACTCCTTGTCATTACGATCCCACGGGCAGTGCCCGCCGCATTCTGCCCCACCCCACGCTTGCACCTGCGACATCCCGTCATGGTTTGGAAGCTAGGTTCCCCAGCGTCCTCTTTATCATCAGGGGTACCCTTTCTCCTGGTATTCAGTGGGAACCCTGAAAAAAGGGCAAAAAGGTACTGCTGCGGAACGTAGGAGGGCCTAATTTGAGGATTGCTTCCTCAACGGCGGGTTCTTCTGCCTACTTGTCGAGTAGGTGAATCTTTGGGAGTATATATGATCCCGGTTCGGCCGGAACCCCCGTCCCCCCAACCCTAAACCCTATAAACCCTAAACCGCCCCTCCCCTCCCCTCCCCCCCCCAATGGTTCAATCCCGGTCCAGGGGCTCTTTATCCGAGAGCATATATGGGAGTTTCCGAAGACTAAGGGTGCCTTATTTTGGGGGGGGGTCCTTATAATAAGGATCCTATACTATTTAGGCTATGGTCCCCTCTTTCGGAAACTCCCGTATATAGAGATTATACCAGCCCGCAAAAGTTGAAGGTTTGGAACGATCAGCAAAGCAGGGATAGGGGGCCCGAAACATCCTACATCCTAAGCCGCCGGAACATAACGGCCCCTAACTCCTAATTCTTGACCTAAATCCTAAACAACCTAAACATAGCGGGCCCTAACTCCTAAATCCTAAGCCCTACACTGCCTAAACATGGCGGGCCCTAACGGGTCACACGTACACAAGTGACCGCAGGGGTTTTCGGCAGGCACGTTTCATTAGAATGGACTCTAAACTCTCGAAACCCACGTCTGCCTGAAAAATTAAGAAAAATGTTTGTTTTGCCTGTTGAAGTGACTATGAAAGATCATCCTGCCTTGAAACTTAGGTCGTTGCAGAATTTCTCAGCTGACTTTCCCTAGCTGCTTTCGAAAGTCACAGTCCGGTTTCAACTGGGACCGCCAAACACGGCCGTAGAGGTACATCAGGATGTGGGGATTGACTCCGGCATCCTTTTGCTGTGGATGTTAGTGGGCATGTAAGCGTCTATGGCTTGCCACCGCCGATCCATACACTGAGTACCTGCGAGCAGCACACCTGCACGTTTGCGCGAAACCTTTCACAAAATCTCGCGCTTGTTGTGTGAGACGTGGTACGATCTCACACGTTTGTTGTGCAACTGCTCTATGGGACCATGGAATTTGGGTACCAAGCCATCGTCAAAATTGTGGAGTTGCAAAGAGAGTTGTTGGCATCAGCGCGAAAGCACTCCCCCCCGCCCCCCCATCCCCCCAAATACGGACGTGTGTGGCCGTAACTCCTAATTCCGAAGCCCCAAACCGCCTAAACCCAAAACCTCTCACAAATCACGACTTCATCAATGGAGGTCCGTTTGAGCTTTAATGTTTGCAGCAGACATGGAGGTGTTGGGACATATTGGCGTATACTTCTGCAAGGACTGCCAGGGGAGTATATTGCTAACTTCTTAGTTCTTTGAGTCAGGGGATGATGTTGCTTTCTGTTTCCGACCCTAGTATTCTCGGCGTGTTCAATGTACCCTAAACCCCAAACCCTAAAATTCAAACCCACACCGCCCACAAGCCAGCCGGGCTTCTGGTTTAAGACGAAACGAATAAGGTGGCTATGGATTCTTGAAACCGCTCCATATCCTTTAAGGTTCCAAAAGGGATATATGAGGGCCTATGAGGACCTAAACAATTTCGAAGGTGGCTCGGGAAACTTCTAGTACTCATAGATAAAGTCTATAGGGGAACCAGTATAGTAGGGCTAAGGGCTAAGATGTTGGCTCATCCATCACAAATTCGGCTGGAGTCGATTTTCAAGACAACAGCACATGCGTCTTCGCACAGCCCCCAAAGACAATCAAAGTTCTCAGACTCCCACAACCTATACGGCCTGAAGCATGCACCCAAACTTCAGACCCAGCCATGCCGCCGTGCCGTCGGTGAGGACGGCGGCAAACGCATAGTCCGTTGCCACTACATCCCTCGCAACGCAGATTCGAGGACGAGCTTCTAGGGGCATGTTAGAATGTGCTTCAAGAGTCCAAGACTCCAGCACGTGGCCTGCGCAGTCATTCCTCACTATCACTATACAACGAATCATGACAAGACCACAAAATTCAGCTCCAAGCCGAGCTTGGGCAACGTTCTTGGGAGTATCCGCTGGATTTGCAACATACTGTAATTTGTGGGCTTTCGACATGCAGGGGTTCGTTGGAATGTAAAAACCTGATGGGGCTCTTTGGCAACAAAGCTGGCGGTTCTTGTGCCACGTTGGTTCAGCTTCTCGGTGACCATTCGGAAACTATTTCGTGCGTATGCTCGCAAAAAATAAAAATGGAAACCTGAAGCACGAACATCGAAACGAGTTTCGGTCGAATTGCCTCAACAACCCGTAACCCGCCTCGCTTTGACTCTGGAGATGTTGGACTCGGCATCTTTGCTGAGACTGCCGCCGGCCTGTACACGTGCTGCGCAATGAGGTTTCAATACTTGGGATTTGAAATCTGCACTATTTACCTTGAACGCCAAACCCGATACACTATACACCCGGTTACGAAGCCATCATCGTTGCCGCGCCGTACAGCACCCCAACTCTCAACCCACCCAACACTACACCATGAATCCTTGAATCACAAAATGTGCAGATCACAAGGTTGGAGCTTCGTGAGAAGCAGAGGCTGTTCGGGGTTTTCTGGCTTGATGCGGAAATCGACAGCATCCACATTCGCGAAAGCAGCGTGCATAATCATCGACGTACGCAAATCATCGGTCCGGAACCGAGGTTTTGAACTTGACATCCGCAACCTGTTGGCGTCTGCAAACGGCAAGGAGCTAGCACGACTACGAAATAACAACAGAACCTGAGAACCAATCAGGCCTTTCAAGATTGGCTTGCATGTCGCCGATGCTGCAGCTCAAATATTCCGAATTGGCCATTCAGCTTTTGTCTGGTGACGGCCAGAACTTGCGGTATTTTGGCATCAGCCCGTGGCGTCTTAAGTTTAGTCATCACCCGAAACCCCTGCTTGCCGATCACGACTGCGTGCTAGATCTTGCATGGCTGTCTGATGCAACACCTGTGCAAGGGAACTCGGTTGTCCTCCACCTGCATTACGATTCGCAGATGAGCAGTCGAGTGTTGTTCCTTGTTGTGGGTCTTTCCAAGCAGCGTTCTGCTTCTGTGATCCTAGGACCCTGACCCATTTCGGAAAGTTTGTTGCATTGCCGGTGCAAGTTCTACAATCGGAAAAAATATCCTATTGGAAGCCCAGCCACAAAAGCTCACAATGGCTCTACGGAAACCGCAGCACCAGGAGAGTCTGCTGAAGGTCGGGAAGAGGTACAGAAATTTGGATATTGTTCAAAACGAATATGCAGAAAAAACATTGCTGCCGACACTGCCATGTGTCTTGCTTGCATGCACACAAGCCGTTCTAGTGGAGCCTGGAAACCTTCATCCAACGTGAAGACTTGTCGGCACCCGGCTACCACATGCCGCTATAATAGTAGCCTTGTGATATAAAGTAAATCAATGCTAATACACTTGCGGGCACCTCGCAATGTAGTGGAGCATGTAGAGACATGCTCCTCGTATGTACTAGTAAATACAGGAAGGCAGCAAGATAGCGCGACACGTTGAAGGAGTGCGGTCAGCATGAAGCTGTGGTAGCTCGGAAATAAGGAGAATGAAATTTTTTGCTGCAAGCTATGTATATGCGCGTGTACATGTACATGTATCTGTATGTGTATATATATATATATATATATATATATATATATGTATGTATATGCACATGTATATGCACATGTATATGTGTATGCACATGTATATGCATATGTATATGTGTATGCATATGTATATGTACATGTGTATGTGTATGTGTATGTGCATGTGTATGTGTATTTGTCAGAGTAGGTGTATGTGTATTGGTATTTGTATGTGTGTGTGTGTGTATGTGTATGTGCATCTACATGTGTATGTGTATGTGTAGGCGTAGCTGGGTATATGAGTATGTGAGTATGTGCATATGAGAGCATGTGTATATGTGTGTATGTGTATATGTGGTTATGTGGTTATGTGTGTATGTGTGTATGTGTGTTTATATGTGTATGTGTGTATGTGCGTGTATGTATAAACATGTATGTATATATGAATGCCGGCTGAACACGAAGACCTCATTCAGGGTCTAGGTCTTGGGCCTGCGTCTTCGGGCCCACACCGTACACATGGTACCCGAAATTTCGGCGCCCGTGAACCTAAACCTAAACTTTGCTCCGAACCCTTGATACCAAAACCCGCAAACCTCCAAGCCCGAAACTACACACAACCCCAAACCCTACCTTGACGCATCTTCAAACCGAGCAGGGCCAGCAAACGCTCCCCGAAAGCCTCCGGCTGTAGGGTTTAGGATTTTGGGCTGGGGGATAAAGATTTTATTTTAAGTCGGATAAGGATTGTCGATCGCGGGAAACTCCGCCACAATCCGTCCTCCTGCCGCGCTATTCATGCGCAGTGGTACTTCATCACAACGACATTTGTAGATTGCTCTATTACTCTTTTGCCCAGTCAACTAGCTGCTTCAATTGATTGGCATGTTACGCAAGATCTCAGTCACTGAACACCCAGATTTACAAGACCGTAGTTCCTGTGCTACTGCGTGTCTGCATCCATGTCCTGCTGTACTGAAACCAAAAAACTTCAAACTTTTCGCACATAGACCAAGTTTTACGAGGCCAAAGAATTTGTGTGTTCTCCTGCCGGCTGCTTGAGGAAGGAGTCGACATGCGAGGGGTTGGTGTGATTTAACATGTCATTTGGGGGTGGTTGTTGATTATCGTAGTCAACCCTGTAAACTCTTTTGGGAATATGGGTTCATCTAGAACAAAAAACCTATGGTAAGTCTCCCAAAACCCGCGCCTTTATGTGACCCCATGTGATGACATCCCCGCTGCCGGTGATGGCAGCAAAGGCATGCCTAGGCTCAGGCTCTGCATGTAGCTTGGTGGGTTCTGGGAATTGGGTCCGAGGGCCTAAACCACAGGGCTCAGATTTTGGAATGCATACTGCACAAGAGCTGTGCCGGTACTACACTGATGATTCCTGCAAAGGGTCACTCTCTCTCTCTCTCTCTCTCTCTCTCTCTCTCTCTCCCAGGCGAGGGACGGACAGGTAGACCGAGGTATGCGATTGCGGCTCCATGTGTATACAATCACAATGTACTTACAGTAACCCAAAGGGCCCAAAGTACTGTTAGGGGGGATACTTCCCCAAATCATACTAGTAATTCCTAATATCGAAACCAACATTCTACTATAAAGGTACTTTGGACCCTTTGGGTAAGAAATCAGCACAGGCGCAACGCAGTTGACAGTGCAAAAGGCGGAGTGTTTTTTTCCCAACTCTGGCGGTCCCCGGTCGCATTTGCTAACGTTGGCTTTCCTTTGTGATTACAAATACCCATAGGTTCTATAGTAGTTCCTTTTTGGGATTACCTTACTGGTTTCTAAATACGAACCCCAAAAAGGAACTACTACGGAGCCTCTAGGTATTGGAAATTGCAGCATTTGCTACTGTTTTGCATCAAGATATTGCGCAATTGCAATTAGCAATGGCGTTTTGTCGCAAGCTATTGGGGAATTGCAATTAGAAGGGGGGGGCATGTTGCCGCAAGCTAGTGGGGAATTGCAATTAGCAAGTGGCGTTTTTCTGCAAGCTACTGGGGGAATTGCAATTTGCAGAGCGGCGTTCTGCCGCAAGCTATTGGAGGATTAAAATTTCGAGGCTCCGATTTGCAGTGCGGCTGTTGGCTGCGTCAGTGTAGTGGAGAATTACAATTTGCAGAACATTTCCGGTTCATCATGTCTCTTAAACACGCTCACTCACTTGGCGATGTCGGGTTCATCATTGAACATACATCTTAAACACGCCGACTGACTTGGCGACTCGTGTTCATGATGCATCGTAAACACGCCGCTTACTTTGGCGATTCCGGTTCTTCATACATCCTGAACACGCCCTCTCATGTGCCGATTCCCGTTCATCATACATCCTAAACACGCCCCTTCCCTCCCCCCTTAAACCTTAAACACGCCCCATCATGTGGCGATTCCGGCTCATCATATATCTTGAACACCCCCTTGTCCGATGCCCCCGATTGGGCGAGACCGGTTCATCATATATCTTTAACGTGCCCCCTCATTCGGCGATCTAGGATCGTCACACATCTTTAACACGATCCCGCAGCATATGTCTAGAAGACGCCCCCTCATCTGCCAATTCCGATTCTGCACATTTGGTAAACCCGCCCGCAAGTTGTCACGTGCCGCAGCGTGCGGCCCGCGGCGCCGCTGAGAAAGAGACCGGAGGTTGGGGACCACCAGGAACCGGCGGACCAGATATACCAAGGGACCAGAGGACCGGGGGATCCGGGTAGCATGGGCCAACCTTACCAAGGACCCCAGGCCAGAGCCCACCTTCGGAAACAAAAAATACAGGGCCCCAGTGCAGAAACCCTGGCATAGCCTTAAACCCCAAACGGCTGAGCTCTGAACCCGAAATTCTCCGGTTCCCGAGACCTACCTAACCCCTATAAACCGTAAGGTTCAGAACGGTTCAGGTGTTATGGGGTTTCGGGCTCAGAGTTTCGAGGGCTTAAGGTACCCCCAAGTTCATAAACTTTTGAAAGGCCTCCTCCTCACACCCTCGTGCGCAAGCCTGGAGCCTAAAGGCCGCGATCACAGGACTAATCTTACACACTCCCTAAACCCTAAATCTCTAAACCCCTAAACGTGGAGCCGCTGAAGCTCTGAACCAGAAAAGTCCTTAATCGTAAACCTTTGCGCGCCTTAACCCCAAATCCTAAACTGCAGATAGAACCCTAAACCCTTCTTGATCCTGCATCTCAGGTCAAGCCAAGATTCACTGTTCCACGGACGGCGACAACGTCCTACCGATGTGCAGCTGATTGAGCTGGAGAGTTTGCGCTTGGGGTTTGGGGTGAGGGTTTGATGAGACAGCCTTTATGCTTAGAACAAGGTTTGGGGTATATCGCAGTATACTTATAAGGGGCTATGCGGGGATGCTACGGTTGATGATATAAATCCTGCATGACCTTAAGGACCCTAAACTATGGCAATTATGGTATATTACTTATTTGGGGTCATGCAGGATTTATATCATCAACCGTAGCACCGATATTGTTCAGACGCCAAGGGCTTCGGGATGAGGCTTCACTTCAGGGATTTGGGCTTGGGCCTGGGTTCAAAATGACTATAACCCTCGAGCTAGTAGAACTAACACCCTAAACTTGTACACCCTCAACCCTCCGGCTATAGTTCTAAAGCCTTAAAAACCTATAAACCCCCAGACAGAAAAGTTATCAAACTAGGGGCCGGAAAGTGCGAAGCTACACTCGAGCCATGAAAGAAGTTCTATGGCTTCGGGATCCAACTTCAAGGGCTCTGCTTGAAATGTTGCGCTGGGGAGCCCCTGCTTAAGGGGGTCCTTATAATCAGGCACTCACACACTGAAGCGGCTTGAGAGGCTTCAGAAAACTGACAGAAGCTTGTTGAGAGGTTCTTTCAAGTTTTCGAAGGGCCATGACCAATCCCTGAGGGTCCATGTACCAAAATAGTATCTACTTTGGCCTCAATGTCCCTATACAGGGGCGACTTTTAATATTTAATGCCAAGGTACACACGATTTGGGTACATGGACCCTTAAACCCTAAACCCCATGCATGGAGCCCTTAGAGAACCCTTGCAGTTGGAGGGGTGGCTTGAAAGTCTTTGGCCAGGCTCCCCGAGTCTCTCCAAAAAAGAAACCGGGGACTCCTAGTCAGAACCACAACAGGGTTCCCTTTTAAAGGGTCTATAAGGGTTACTATAAGGGATCTATAAGTAAGTTCCCTTTTAAAGGGTCTATAAGGGTTACTATAAGGGATCTATAAGGGCACCAGGTTCCTTTCGAAAAGGGTCTAGACGGTCTTCCCACCGGGTGTAGGAGCCTTACTGCTTAAAAGAGGGTTTTGGGGGGCTCCTGATGACAGTTGTAGTATGACCTCCTATTCTCAGAAACCATCTTACATACGGCTCATGATAAAAATCCTGCATTACCCATAATAAGCAATATACCACAATGCCCATAGTCCAGGGTCATTAAGGCTATATCATCAACCGTATGACTTGTAGGAGCCTGAATAATTCGAGTAGGGTTTTGGCGGCTCCTTTTTATAATTGTAGTACAATATGCCCCAAAACCCTGTTCTAAGAATAATTAAGGCCTCCCACAAAGGACTCCGCACGTGGGTGTGGCTGTGGAGGCTCTTTTCACTTGGTCGGTGGTCGACCGGCTTGCGTACTACTCTGAAACACTTAAAATAAAACCCCCATCGGACCGAGTTTAGGGTTTAGGGTCTTGGTTTAGGGTTTAGGGTTTAGGGATCGGGGATAATCGTGAAGAGCATTAGCTGCGTGCGGCAATCCTGCATCGTTGGTCTTCGCGAGGCCTTTGTTCAGCAAAAAGCTCTGGAGCTTCGCAGACGCAGGCCACAATATCTTTCGTGAGGTCTACGACCGACTGCTTGCGTATGTCCTGCGGTTCTTGTGGCGTTGGTGGTCCCTTGCTGTCCTTTTTCAGAATCCGGCGATGCCAATCAATGTCGGCCACAGTCAGTCGAGTCCAGGCCAGCTTGCTTACCTTTGGGGGCATTTAGGCTTTGGGGCATCTATCATGAGAATTGAGAATAAAGCCTCGGGGTGTATCAATATTTCAATAACGAATATAGACTCATATTAGGTAGCCCCAATGAATAGTGCTGGTACTTATTCATGCATCCATATTTCCTACTATCCCTAAACAGGCAGGAGTTTCAGAAAATCTGACTGCCAAGCCCACCACGGCCAAAACTCCTAAACCAGAAGCTACAACCAAAAGTTGAAAACAACAACCGACTGTGATTAAGACAAGTCGAGAACAGGATTGAAAAGAGCCTTACCAAACCCTGGAGTTCCATCCCAACGACAGTACATACCTCCATCCATACATTCATGCATGCATACATACATGCACACATCAGGCTATACGGAATCAAAACAAACAAACCAAGGATATGATCGTATACTACAGGGGCCATAATAAGGAGAACAGGGTTTTGGGGCCCATTCTACACTATTTACTATCAGGAATCCCCAAAAGAATATTGGCATTGTTTAGGCCCCCATAGTAAATCCCTGTAGTGGCCCTTATAGAAGCTGTGTAATGGCCCTTATAGAAGCCCTTCAAGACCCCGTTGCAGGAACCCCCAAAATAGTAGTGTTAACTCGATCTTAGGCCGCCATACTAGTGCAAACGACGATTTCCTGGAAAGAACACGGGGCCCGTGGAGGGCCTCCAGCTGCTGTGAAACCTTTGAGGAGTCCCCACCCATCGTGGGCCTCAGCTGCAGGGCTCTGTAAGGGATATATGTATGTATACACTACGTGTATATATACTATATACAGAATACATCAATATATATATATATATATATACACACACATTTGCATTATCTATGCCATAAATACATGTGTATATATATATATATATATATATGTACATATATATATATATATATGTATGTCTGTCTGTCTGTATGTCTGTATGTATGTATGTATGTATGTATGTATGTATGTATGTATGTATGTGTGTATATATGCATATGTACATGTGTATACATATATATATATATATGTAAATGTATATGTATGTGAATATGTGTATATATACACATACGTAAGTACATATATATATATATATGTGTATGTATGTATGTATGTATGTATAGGTATGCATATATGTATATGTACATTTACATATATATATATATATATATATATATATATATATATATATATATATATGTATATATATGTGTATATATATGTGTATATATATATACATATATATATATATATGTGTGTGTAGATATATATGTATATGTATAAGTATATATATATATATATATATGTGCGTGTATATATATATGCATATACATATATATATATATATATATATATATATATATATATATATGCATATATATATATGTAGTATGTGCTCTATAGTGGCCTGGCCCAAGACGAGGCTGTAAATGGGTGCGACAGGTGACAAGGGTTCGATGAGGGTTGCAGAAAGCTACTGTAAAGGAGTGTCTTCGATTTCAATGTTTCACGTAGGGTTCAGTGGGGTTCTGCGACGGAATGTATACAAAGCTCGTTTTGTCAAGCTTTACGATGAAGGCTATATACCTGGAAGAGCAGGGCTCGGGGTGTGCAGGCTTCTAGGCTCGGCAATGCTACCCGCCCGTCTTTTGACATAGCTGCCCCCGGTACCACCCGGCTACCACCGGTTACCACCTGCGTATTAATTATGACTGCTATGTGGGCCCTCTGACGCCTGCGAAAAGCACTCTTGAGCAGACCTTCCTAAGCCCTGAACCCAAGAAGGGATAAGTACAATAAATTGAACCTGTGCCGTACCTTTGACTCTTCTGGCCACGCATTCCGCCCGAAACACTAAATCCTAAACTCTGAACCTATCCTTGCAGCCCTGCCACGCGCCCCAGGTCACGACGCGTCCTCAGCTTTGCAGTAGATTCATCGGTCTCAACGGCTTAGGATATGGGAGTTTCCGAACATAGGGGACCCTTAAGATAGTAGCCTAAATAGTAGGATCCTTATTATAAGGACCCCCAAGATAAGGCACCCATACTTTTCGGAAACTCTAGACCCTAAACCCTTTGTAGTACCCCTATAGTAACCCTTTAAAGGAACCCTTAAATGTACCCCTAATTTTCCGAAACTCCTGTATAATATCGCTCCGACGGCCTAGACAGCAAATGTTGAAGGTTCTTGGCTATGGCTTCCCACAATGCTTCGGTTTTTTTTTTGGACTCCTTTTTCCTAACTGCTGCTCCAAGCTGCCGTCAGAAAGGCCTAAAGGCCAGGAGGGTCATGGGTTTAGGGTTTAGGGGTCTTAGAACCTACTTGTCCGGTATCATGGGGAACTAAAGGTTAGCCATTTGGGTTATTAAGGGATTATACAGAGACTATACTACCCAAAAAGGTTAAAGGTGACCTACCCTACTACTAGGTTTTTGGCTGCAGATTGCAAGGATTCAAGGCCCGAAATTGACGGCTTCGGTTTTCGGGTGCCTGCTTCGGCGAAACGTCCATGGTTTCGAATGCGGGGGTTAACAGTCAGTTTGGGTTTCATATCTTGCTTAGAGAGCTTGATAGTTTAAGATTCCGAGCAATATGTGCGGAAAGCGAGTTCGGCAGTGCCACGTCCCAAACACAACGATCTCATGTCTCACTCCCAGCCCAAAAGCTCTGAAATCCAGATCCCGCAAGTTAAGGGAAAGATGTTTTTTCATGTTCCAGGAGATTGGTGTTTCAGGTTGCGAAGAATGCCTTTGAGGGATTATAGAAACCCAACCCAAAGACTAAACACGACCAGGGTGACACCAAATGCCTACTCTTGCCAGAATTCTGTCGCTGCGGATGGCCGCGAAGGACACGCCGGTGGCCACGATTTGCTCGACGTCCCTTCCCAGTGTACGGCTTAGATTTGTCGGGCTTTTCTGGGTTACGGTCGGGTTTGGAGTTTGAGTTTCGGGTTATGGGGAATGGTCAAACCCAACCATCAAAAACTCAAACCCACCCACCCGAAACTCCACCCTACCTTCCTAGGATACCCAGTAACCTAAGAATAAAAAGGCCTCTCTTTTTGGTATTGGGTAACTTTATAAGGAACCCAGGACTACAAAAAAGGAATCAGGGTACTACTGGGCATCCTACCTTCTGAGAGGTCAGCTCAAATTGAACCCGGCAGTGTGCAACCGCGAGGGCTTTGGGGTTTAGGGTGTGATTAGGCCCTGAGCTTAAGCCCCGAAGCCTTAAGCCCAAGCCTTGAACTCAGCTCGGAGCCACTAAAGCTCTTACAACCCAAGGTCTTCTTCTTGGGGGCCGAGTACCTAGCCCAAAACAAGTTAATGTTTGCAATTGCGGCTGGAGTATATAAACCTCAGAAGGTTAAAGGTTACCTACTCAGCTACTAAGTATTCAGTCTGACCACGTGTCTGCAGCCCCCATAACAACCTCAGCGTGTGCATCTGTGCCGCTACGGGGCCTGAACCCTAAATGCTTATTCAGGATAAGTTGGTCAATCTCTTGTAAACACTCTGCTGGAAGTCTTCTAGACGTGAGCATCGAAAAGAGCCTTGAACATTGAACATACATCCTGTTACTATGAGCTGAGTACCCTAGCCCAAAAAACGCTAACCTTTTCAATTATGGTAGGGCCCCAAACCGTGCAACCCTGCGTCAAAAACTCAAATTTTCTGGCATAGGGCCAGGGTTTACAGAATACCCAACTTCGAAGCCACTGCACAGAATCTGCGACTCAGGCTTAGGGCTTAGGGCCTGAAGCCGAAACCTCCGCGTCCCGCCTGAGTCGATCTTGCACCGCGCTGCCTGGGTGCGAAGTTTATGGTTTACAGCAGAAGCCGAAAAGTTGGAAACCTAATAGCCTCAATCTTTAAGAGTAATGTATAGGGAATCCCGGCACTATTTGGCCTTAATCCGGTTTCCAACTTTATGGGGTTTACTCTAAAGCCGTAAACCCTTATAGTACCCCCAATAGAGCCCTTTAAAGGAACCCCTATAATCCCTTAAAAGGGGCCCTAAGCCCTATATGGGGTTTACCGCAAGGCGTTGGCACTTTTCGGGCCAGCTCCAAGACCCAAAGGCTTGCGTTTAGGGGTTTAAGGGTGAGGGTGGTTTAGGGTTTAGGGTTTAGGGTTTAGGGGTTTAGGGGTGTAGGGGTTTAGGGTTGAAGAGCGCTTTTCGATCTTTCAAAGCTGAGCTTCGAGCAGGTGCATTGGGTTGGAATCGCGCCGAGGAGGCAGGGCGCTTGAGCTTTAGGACTCAAACCGACACCTTGCCTTCAAAAAACTTGGTGAATACTTATAATGAGTTAACCTGCATGTTTCTGTCAGCATTTATGTCTATATATAGATATACATAATAAGCACAGGAGAACACGCATGTTCGCCGTGCAGGTGGAGGATGGAGCCGAGACTGCAAAATATCGAACCAGGTTTCGAAGGGCAACTCGAGCATGACATGTCCAATGAAGTCATTCGGCAGACGTGCCCTGGAAAAGCTGCGTGGCTACGACCACTGTCGGCCGTGAACTTCCCACACCCATTACAGGAGAGCCAGTCAAGCCAAATGGCAAGCAGTCCTGTGACTGCGACTTCGACCGCACGCAACTCAGCGTCAAGCCTCAAAGCACGCCTGTGAAGCCTTCAACCCACCTCCAGACGTCAGATTCACTAGATGGGTGGTTGTCAAAATTAGGACCCGTTTTTGGGTACCGTAAATATTAGGTGCCGTATTAGAATAAGGACCCAAAAAGGGACCCTAAAGTTGACAACTACCCATATGTCACGAAGAGCGCGAGGGCGCAGCGTCGAACATCCTAAGGAAGGAATTGCAACCCAAAGCACCGACACTCAAAGTAGAAAGCCACGCTCGACCCAAACATGTCCCCCGCAGAAATGCCGAACCCAGTGCCACATGTCGTCGCAGTATCGTACAGGTGATTGGGATGACAGTAGGCAGCCGTAGTAGTCGAGCACAGTAGAACCAGGAGTTGCAATCACCAGCACGAAATCGCTTAGTATAAGGGCCTTAACCATAAGAATTTGGTTTGGGGGGTATATTTTAGTATAATTATAGCAAGGAACCCCTAAAACCCTATTCTACTTATTAAGGCCCCTACATCAGTAGTAGCAAACTGCTGCCGCCGTTGCTATCTCCGCCGCGGTCCCCTGGGCCCCAGGTCACCACGGATCCGTCGCTGCGCATCCTCCGGTTGCTTCCAGTTGCAGTCCGGCACACACCCTAAACCCTAAACCCTTAAAGCCCTAAACCCTAAACCCCGCACCCTAAACCCCACACCCAAGACCCTGAACCCTTAACCCTTAACCCTGAACCCTAAACACTTAACCCTGAACCCTTAACCCTCAACCCTAAACTTTGAACCCTAAACCCTCAACCCTAAACCCTTAAACCCCTAAACCCTTAAACCCCTAAACCCTATTCATGTTTTGGAGTCCAAAGGGGTCAGGCTCAGGCTTTGGAGTCTTTGACGGCTTCGGGGGTGCACTTTTGTAGCGTTCTTTTGTGGTCAAGGCTACAGGGTTTAGGGCTTTAAGGGTTCAGGGTTTAGGGTTTAGGGTTTGGGGTTTGGGGTTACGTTTAGTCTTTGGGGGTTTAGGGTTTTAGGCTTGTTTGGATTTGGGCTTTGAAGCTTGCGGCTTTACAAGTATGCGGTCTATACCTGAATTGACGGTTCAGGGCTCAGGCTACGGACTAGCATCGCTCTGAGCCGATGTTCAGGGTTTGGGGATTGAGTACTTGGATTCTTGAGATTTGATAAGTAGTTATTATGTAGAGTTATAAATACCTTAATAGGGACAAATTGCCAGATTTCCTTGTCGGCGACACAGGATCCAAATGAGTAGGACTTGTGATGCCTAGAACCGGGCTTTAGCTTTGGGGTGTATTATCGTAGAACTACGAGTGATACTGAGAAACCCTATAACGAATTCTATTAGTAGTTATCCACGCGTCTATTAGCTGTTTGGTCCAACATAGGAGCTCGCGAAATCCAACATTCTCGGGACACCTCTGAAAAGCAGTGGGTAACAGGATCCGCTCACGCTCAGGCCCCATAATGGAGAGCAGAAACTTAGAGGCCGTAGAGGCAACAGGTAACCTTAAACTCACGAGTACTTTGAGCCTTAGGGCAAGTACAGTAAACCCCACAAAGTTGGAAACCGGATGAAGGCCACATGGTGCTGGGATTCCCAATACATTGCTCTTAAGGATCGAGGCTTTGGGTTTCCAACTTTGGGCTTCTACTGTAAGGCTCTAGACCCTAAACCCTAAACCCGAAACCCCTAAAATCCTAAACCCCTAAACCCTAAACCCGAAACCCCTAAAATCCTAAACCCCTAAACCCGAAACCCCTAAAATCCTAAACCCCTAAACCCGAAACCCCTAAAAATCCTAAACCCCTAAACCCCTAAACCCGAAACCCCTAAAATCCTAAACCCCTAAACCCTAAACCCGAAATCCTAAACCCCTAAACCCCTAAACCCGAAACCCCTAAAATCCTAAACCCCTAAACCCCGAAATCTACTGCAAACTTAAGGCCGGCTTTTGGATTCGAGCGGCAGGGCGAAGGCCATCGACTGCCTCGTCGAGGCCAAAGTCGCCGGGCGAACGGTGGCGTACACCTCAAGAGGCTTTACCCCTAAACCCTAAACCCTAAACCCTAAACCCTAAACCCTAAACCCTAAACCCTAAACCCTTAAACCGTTTAGGGTTTAGGGTTTAGGGAAAAGGGTTTAGGGTTTAGGGAAAAGGGTTTAGGGTTTAGGGAACAGGGTTTAGGGTTTAGGGTTTAGGGTCTAGGGAATAGGGTTCCTCAAAAGGGTTCCTTTTTAAAAGTTACTATAAGGGTTATGTATAGTATAGGAGTTTAAGGGTTCTTAGTAAGCTGTCTGGTGCTTAGTAGGGAATGAGGGGATGGATCCCTATAGTAGTTCCTATACGATCCCCAATAATACAGTAGTCGCTAATATCCATCCCCCCATTCCGCACTAAGAACCAGACAGAAGACGGTTTAGGGGGGCCTCCATGTACAAACCCAAGTTTTCACTGAACCTTTAAGGCACGGACCTCTTTAGGAATGCCTTTTAAGGCCTGAGTATATATTTCATGTTTACATGGAGTTGGGATCGTTTTTTTGTTGAGCTCCTGGAGATGGGATCTAGGGTTTACGGAAGACTCGGAGACAGTAAAACTTGGCACATAACCAATACCCTTAAGTCTCAAAAGAAGCAGTAGCCTCAAGGACGCGGGGCCCAGAAGTCTTGAGTCTTCAGATAAGGTTCCGTGTATAATGTTTTGGGTTTACGCTTCAGAGTTTAGGGTTTCAGGTATTATGATCTGCACAAGTTTGTGATACTTTCGGCTTTTCATGCGGGTTTTCGATCTCAAAACCCCTTCATGCTCACGGACCGCAAGCTTCACGACAACTTCACGCAAGCATGATCTTCTGCGGAAACAAGCATGGCTTTTTCGATATGCCCCAGCAGGCTTTTATCCAGAACGCTACGATGACTCTGCACAATGTCTGTCCCAACACGCAGTGCAGAGCTTGGGGTTTACAAGTTTAGGGGCTTGCCTTAAAAGCGTTGAAGGCATTACGGCAGTAATTATGGTTCCGACATTGAAATCCCAACCGCTCCACTCTAAAACAACCCCAAAGATGATCTCGAAGCTGCCAGGCATCGAAACCCTAAAACCTAAACACCTCCACCCTAAACCCTAAACACCAAACCTCCAACCACAAACCCTACGTCCTAAATTAACACCCGAAACCTTCAACCATCAACACCCTAAACTCCAAACCCCAAACCATCAAAACCCTAAACCCTAAACATCCCTCAACCCTAAACTGGCCCTAAACCCTAAACATCCCTAAACCCTAAACATCCCTAAACCCTAAACATCCCTAAACCCTAAACATCCCTAAACCCTGAACATCCCTAAACCCTACACATCCCTAAACCCTAAACATCCCTAAACCCTAAACATCCCTAAACCCTAAACATCCCTAAACCCTGAACATCCCTAAACCCTACACATCCCTAAACCCTAAACATCCCTAAACCCTAAACATCCCTAAACCCTACACATCCCTAAACCCTAAACATCCCTAAACCCTAAACATCCCTAAACCCTACACATCCCTAAACTCTAAACATCCCTAAACCCTGCATACGATTTTTTTTAAACTGCCAGGCACCATGTCACCACTCCGAAGGTTCGACTGCCTGAGCGTGTCGAGGCCTCTCCTGGGCAGCTCGACCCGATATAATCCGACGTGAGTCGCGCTAAGGGTTTAAGGTTTAGGGATCTAGAGTTCAGGGGTTTAGGGTTTAGGGGTTCAGGGGTTTAGGGTTTAGGAGTTTAGGGTTTAGGGTTTGGAGTTTAAGGTTTCGGAGTTTAAGGCTTCAGCTAGTACTAGGTACTACAACTACAACAACTACTACTACTACTACTACTACTACTACTACTACTACTACTACTACTACTACTACTACTACTACTACTACTACGACTACGACTACGACTACGACTACGACTACGACTACGACTACGACTACGACTAAGACTACGACTACGACTACGACTACGACTACGACTACGACTACGACTACGACTACGACTACTACTACTCCTGCTGCTGCTGCTACTACTACCACCATACCACTACTCTGACGGTTCGCACTATACCGACATCTATTCTCAAACCCTACACCTTAAACCAAGATCTGGAAAATCTGCACACTACGCCTAAAACCCCCGAGAGGCCATAAAGCTTAAAACCAATGTTTCCCTAAACCCTAAACCCTAAACCCTAAATAAACCCTAAAGCTTAAAACCAATGTTTCTTGCAGTTCCGGCTGGAACTCTCTCGGGTTTGAGTTCTTAATTACTCACGGTATCTTTTTCTTTCTTTGCGTGCAGTGGCCTTCGCTCGCACGACTGTCCGCCGCTCTAGGAACTTGCACTCCAAAATAACAAGCTCCTTCGCCCTCTCAGTGAACCATCACCGGTCTCACCTCCGTCTAGCTTGCCAGAGTGTTTCGGTGGCCTGATGGAATCGGGTTTAGGGTGTGGGATACTTCCGAATTCCACTCTGAAGGCTTCACAAACCCAAACAGCCTTGCTGCCCCTAAACCCTAAACCCTAAACCCAACAAAATGCCTTGACGGGTGTCAGCAGCTCCCCGTTCGGCGCGACCAACCCAGCGAGACCAACCAGTAGCTCTTTCTGGGCCTGCGCAGGAGCGACAGAGAAGGGTACCCATGTTCCTGCCTATAGTCTCCATTTTTTCGGCTATCCAGTTTTATGGTTAGGATCCTATAATAGAGTTTTTGGGTAACCAAGAAAAGGAACTACAATGGAGACTATAGGTACTATATAGGGAACCCCAAGCGAAAAACGCCAAAGCTCACTACTGGGGAACCTAGATACCGTACTCAAAGTGCAAAAAGCCATTCAGCGTATGGTGCTTGGGGCCTACAGCCCTTCTATCTGGATCCTCGGATCCTCAAGTTTTGCTTTGCTTCGCATGAATGCCGCCATGTCCAACGTCTCAGCGGGCTCATCTCGACGGGCCAAGACAAGCCTACTTCAACCTACACTAAGCCGGAAAGATAACCGCAAGTCAGTGGTTCGAGTATTGCTGCACAATCAGCAAGATGCCACCTTGCGATATCTTCCTACTGCCATAGACCTAGTGGCGACCGCCAGGGCAAGGAGAGCCCTGCTGTGCGTCTGAAAGCCCCTCAGCAAAGACAGACTCACCTCCCGAAACACTTGTGGCGGCAATCACTACAACTACCTGTGCTCTCAGGGAAGGCAAAGTTTAGAGATTTCGGGTCTCCCGCTTATACTTCGAACTCCCAAGACCCCCACCCTAACTGCGCAAGGCTTCCCAAACCCTGAAGCCGTCAAACGCTAATTCTTAGGGGTTTGGGCTGAGTACCCCAGCCCAAAACAAGTTAACCTTTTCAATTGTGGTAGAATGTGGTAGAATTATATAGACCCTTCCAGGTTACCTGCTCCGCTGCTAAGAATTTCTGGAACGAAGCAAAAACCCAACTCCTAATCCGCCGAGGCCAGAGGCCCAGGCGCCTTGATGGTTACCTCAGGTACCCTCCACCTAATCCTCCTTTCTGCAGGCCAAATGTTTTTTGACCCACCCGTTTTTTGCGTTCCGGCTTCATTTTACCTGATTTGTCGGCCTCCCCCCCCCCTCCAGGCCTCCCCCCCCACCTCCCCCTCCCACCTCCCCTCCCTCCCCCCCTCTCCCCCCCCCCTCCCCCCCCTCCCCCTCCACCCCAGTTAATTATCAACAACCGTGTAAAGGTTGGGGTTGAGAGGCCCTAGCATGTATACAACATCGACTGCCCCCTCGCCCTGCCGCTAAACAGCCGAGGCGGGCGGCGTAGCGTTAAAATTAAACCCTAAACCCTATAACATCCCTACCCATTGGCTCCATAGTAATTTTTTGGGGGTTCATACATATTTAGAACCCTAAATGGTAATCCCAAAAAGGAGCTACTATGAAGCCTATGGGTAAACTCTAGAGCAGCCTTCAGGCGCAGCTTGTTCACAGTGTCGTCTGCGCTGGCCCAGACGCAAACGGACTGACACGCAAAGGCAAGGGTTTAGGGTTTAGGGTTTATGGGGTTTAGGGTTTAGGGTTTAGGGACGCAAACTGTAGGGCTCCAGTTACCTAAATAGTAGGTTACTGGGGTATATAATATATGGTTAGTAACCTACTGTTTAGGTAACTGGAGCCCAAGGGAAAGGCAGGGTTTCGCGCTTAGGGGGCGTGTCAGTGGGGTTACAGGATTGACGGCTAGAGTTTAATTATCGAGATCAGTTGTTACGTCGTATTGTGGGCATCTCCTCGTTCAGGAGTCGGGAAGCGCTGCCGGCATTGAACACATGTGGAATGTTTTTGTCTGCCGAGCATGTTGGACTATCTTAGCGGGTGTGTCGCACCTGGATTTTCTCTGCCCAATAATCTAGGCCTCTCTGTTATCCATGTATGCCATGGGCGTTCGCTTCGGTCCGGATCTCGGTACAAAGTCGCGGCACAGACGTGTTTGGGGGGAAGTAGTGAGTGCTTGAACGTGTGCCTTCTACTAGTGAAAGCTTGCACTTCAGTTCTGGGACCTTCGGGGTTTATGGTTTGGATCCATCCTTATAGGGATTGAGATTGGGCAAGCCTCAACCCTGCAGCCTAAAGACTTAACCAAGGCGCTTAGGGCTTGCAATAGCACCAGTAGGGTTTAGCCCATAACATCAATCCAAAGCCTCAGTTACACCGCTGAAGCCATCTTTAAGATACAAGCCCCCTTTTAATGGAGGGGCTAAGGAACACCGTGTACAGGCTCGTCAAACAACCCACAAAGCACGAATAATACACATCGTTCTTGAGGGTTTGCGACTCATATCTCAAACGTTTCCGACCTTGCTGGAGAACAAAGTCACATGAACCTGGCCACGGCCAAGGGTTTAGGGTTCCAGGCTTTGGTTTGTAGAAGTGCCTTCCGGTACAAAGGGTTAGGGTTTAGGGCTACAGGGCCTCTCTGAAACCTAGACCCTAAACCCTAAACCCTAAGCCCACTATAAGGTTCTACAAAGATGTCTAGGGCTTTGGGGGGCTTTCGGGTTTCGGGGGCTGTGAAGTCGGGTCTTGTCGTGCGAGGTCCTTACGGGTACGTTTTATGGGAATTTCCGAAAATCAGGAGTACTTTAGTAGGGGCGTCCTTAGAATAAGGATCCGATTATCTAATCTAGGGTACTATATTAGGGTCCCCTATCATCGGAAACTCCCAGTAAATGAGTTTCTGGAGATGATTTCCCCTCCTCCTTAGGGGTCACTTGTGTTCTCAAGCTTCTATATTATGGTGTAAGCTTCGCTAGGGTCCAGGGTTCATAGGCCAAGCTATCGGGTTAAGGGGTCCAGCATGCTTGATGGTACTTCAGCATATAAACCATGGGCGCTCTGCCCTCGCAGCATACTTGTTGAAACTTAGCACCACTCCCAGTCCATGGGTGGGATAACATGAAAAACATAGATGTTTCCTTCTTGGCTTGAAGTACCCGTAAACATGTAAATGTTACCCGACTGCGACCACGACTCAAGAAGAAGCACAACCCAACCTCTTCACCGCGAAACCTCGATCACAAACTCTAACTAGATGGTTTACCTCACCCCCTGGATAGGTTACTGTATGCTTAGGATCTGTGAACAAGAAAAGAGTGGGTGCGCAAAAAAAGGGGTATCCGGCAAGGCTGTCAGCGTTGAGACTCATGATGCATGGGTATTCCGGCGTTCCGAGCGTGGCCGGGAAAAAATTGCACCGCCAGTTTGTCAAGAACTCTTGCTAAGTTCTCTCCTGGTCCTGTGTCCCAGCAGCAGTGCCGTTGTCCATGCCAGTGCCGTCGATGTCCTCGACACGCTCAATGGCACAAAGCAATGTTGAAGCCAGGATCAAGCTTCTCTGTGGGGCCCAGTTCCCACTCAAGAGGCGCTTCATTGTTTGCACCGTAAAGTCACCCGTCTGGCCTGTCCCGCACTTTCCGTGGGTCGACAAGCCCGCGCTGCTTTTCTCTAGCACCTCACCCAGCGCCCCTCCTCCAGAAGCGCATTCCGCAATCAACACCGCCCGTAAAGAGGCTAGTTGGTTGAACAAGGACGTGATCGCAGCGATCTCGTCGGAGTACGTTTGGGCCGGCCGTGTACTCCACGGCCTCATCGAACGCCACTCAACTGGCATAAGCCTGGCTTTGAAACTGATCGTCTCCGTCCCAACCATCGGTCTTCTGCACAGCGTACCAAGGAGCCCTGAGGTGTGGGCCCTGGAGAGGATGTCTCTCGACTGGCGAACGTTCGTGAAGTGCTCCGGAGGCTCAAAGGCAGCAGCCACAGTTGAGTTGATCCTCTCGAAGCTATGTCCCTCGGATTTTGGATTTAGGCACTTTGGGGGTGCTGAGTTTAGGGTTTTAGGGCGGGCTCGGGGTCTTGGGGCTATCGGGCTTGAGGCTGGGGGAAACCCTAATGCCAAAACCCTCAACCTCACACCCTGAACCCGAAACCCTAAACCCAAATCTTGAAACGCCCACCTCGATGTCCTGCACGGGCTCATGGCTTTCCTCCTGGAGCAACCGAGTGGGCTGTATGCAGGGTTTCGGGTAAAAGGCTCTGGGTTCAGGCACCCAGAGAGCCCAATGCCCCTGAATTAAGGAATAAGGGTTCCTTAACGGGCTCCTTAAAGGGATCTTTTGGGGTTCTATAAGGGAATCAAGGAATATGGCTAAAATTAGATAGGGCTTCATATTATGATTTGTGCTATATTCCTTAATTAAGGGGTACTGGGCACTCTGGGCAGTTTTGCCGAAGGCTTTGGGATTTGCTTACAGGGTCAGGGGACTTCCTAAGAGGATGTTTAGGATTTAGGGTTTAGCGGTTTACGGTTTAGGGTACAGAATTACTTATCAGCCAAGCTGAGGTATAAATAACCCTACATACTTGGTGCCATGATCTGTAGGTACCTTAAACTCGTAGGCTTAAGGACATTTAGTCATTTATAGGGTTTTAGCATCGGTGGTTTCGGGCTGAGGCTTTAGCATTTAGGCACCCCTCATACACAAACCTGCCTCCGTTCAAAGGCTTCCACAATAATGAAGAACCCTGGTTAAGAAACCCTCCCCTCAAGATTCAGAACCTTAATGGCATCCAAAAGCCCTCGGTCTTCTAAGTGCCTTCGTATTGATCCCGATGATACTCTCTGTCACGGGGTGGCCAACACAGAAGCACGAATACTGAATACTTAAACTAAGGTGCTGGGTGACTTCTATGCTGAAAAAACATCGGGCACCCTAGGGAATACTTACTATCTTCCCTGATATAGGAGCATGGGTTTTGAGGGGAGCACCCCCGAGGAGACTGAAAATTGTTCGAAGCATTTCCTGCCTTCTCGAGGCTTCCGGGTTTAGAAACCGAGGCTCTTCCTTCTTCACGGCCCTTCACAAGAAAAAATTTTTGGTCCGCCCTGGGAACCTTTCTGGGCTTGCCAGAATAGAGCTGCGACATGTGCGATAACGGCAAATCCAAAAATCACGAAGCCCTTGGCCTTGAGCTTTAAACCCCACTGAGGGGCCCAATACAGTGTAAACAACCCTAAACCCTAAACCCAACACAACCATGTAAACCCAAAACACCCACCACATGGAGCTCTGAAGTCTGAGGACCCACATAAAGACCCTGTGAATGATAGGATCCTTCTGTAAAAACAGTATCTCCATCTTTACTTAAAGGAGCTCGTGCCTTAGTGCCTTAATCAATAAGGCTTTAGTTAAACAACTTTCGCTGTAACCACTCTTTCACCAAGGAAAAGACTTGTAGCGCTGCTTCCGAAGTCTGAGCAAACTCTGCAAAACCTAATGCATCCCTGTATCACCCTGTAGAAGCCCTTGAACTGTAAGGTACCTTACTTCCTCAGTGCCCTGATCATGACCATAAAACCTAAGCCCTAAACTGTAAGCCCCAGGACACCTCGAGCAAGCCCTCCCTCGCAACCGCAGAGTGACTTGCGTCGATCCTGAGCGAAGACTTGTCAAGGACTGCATCTTTGTTGCTGATTCAGGCACAAGAAAGCATGAAGAACAATGTCAAGAAAACTGATTCAAAGGGCCAGATCAACATGAGAAGTGGTGGCAAAGGGCCTGTGCGATCCGCTGCCAAGACACGGCCCACTTGCGCTTGGAGAAACGCCTGTGGGAGGGCTCGGCTTCACATCCCTACGGTGCTGGCAATCCCAGACCTTCAACTACCAAAACCCATCTTTTGTAGGGCCCCCCAATAACTTCTACAACCATCAGAGCCGGTTTGAAAGGAGGTTATGGTAGATTCTTGGAAGAGCACCTTCTCCAGGAATGTCGTGCATGTGAGGTGACGCATGACCACCAGGAGCAGATGGCAGTGAACAGATCTGGGCGTTGGTGTCGCGGAAGAAAGCGGCGATTAACGGCCCACGGACCATGGCTAGAGAGGCTCTAAGCTGTCTTTGTTAAGATAGGCTTTCTTCATGTCTTGGGGCTTCGGGTTTAGACTTTAAGGTTCAAGGTTTAGGGTCTAGGGCAAGGGCTGTATCTCCTGGTGGAGGCCGCTAAGTGTGTTTCTGAATGGGCTTTCAAGGGCGTTAATTAAACCCGAAACCCTGACACGACCTGAACCCCAAGAACTAAACTCTGACAACCACAAGGGTCCATATGTCCAAATAGTATATACAGTATATACTCTGGCCTTCAAGTAACGTAGTCCCTACGTAGGTAGATTGGGGCCGAAGTATATGTTACTAGGATACCCAGTAACCGAAGAATAAAAAGGCCTCTCTTTTTGGTATTGGGTAACTTTATAAGGAACCTAGGACTACAAAAAGGGAATAAGGGTACTACTGGGCATCCTAGGTTATTTGTTTACGTGGACCCTTAGGGTCCCCTCACTGCCTCCGAGTTTCAGGTCCTCCATCAAGCCCGAATAGAAGTGGATGCTGCATGTCATGACTTGAGGCGAACTCGTCCCTACCCAAAGGCCCCAAAGTAGTTCCTTTTTGGGGTTCGTATACAGAATCTTATTAGGTAATCCCAAAAAGGAACTACTTTGGGGCCTCTGGGTACTGCTGAGGCTCGATTTGCGAAGCTGCACCCCGTAGATCCTGAAGTAAACCTTCTACTCTGCCTCAAAAGATTGATGCGGCACTAGTTTCGGCATAACTTGGCTGGCCACCTACATGGACTTTGAAAGACATCGGAAAATTGCTGCGGGAGCGCGAACAGGGACGCAGACAGAACTGTGCTGAAATCCACGCATGTCGAAAGTAATCCTAAACCCTAAACCAGGTAACACAAAAGCCCTGAACCTTAAACTCTACGCCCTAAGCCGCTGGAACCGTGAAACACCAAAAACCCGAAGCCGGAAGGCTCCGGTTAAGGGCTGAGGGTGTACAGGCCTGAAAGGACGTCGAGCTTAGCGGTTTAGCGAATTCGCGACGAGAGGCTCAGGCGTTTAGGGGTTTTGGGTTTAGGGTTGGGGTTCTGGGGTTTAGGGCTTAGGGTTTAGGGTGGTTTTAGGGTTTGCTTCCGGAATTCTGTGACAACCTTTCCACTGAGACGGCAAACAACAAACTTCATACTTAAGGATTTAGGGAGTAGGGAGTTGCAAGATCACACCCCAAAAGCTAAGCCAAAAGGCATCCAACCCCAAACTGGACCCTCACACATAAAGACTCAAAACTAAATACAATCCTAAAGTCCGACAAAACGAAGAACCGCAAAGCTCTAAACCCGACCTGTAGCCCCAAACCCCACCTGTCGCAGGTTATGACCCCTGAAGTTAAGGGGTTTTGGATGGCAGGTAAAACCCAAACCCGGAAACATGTAAAGACCTCGAAGCAGAGCTGCAACCACCGGGGCTTCTGGGCACTGCCTCCTTGGCTGGCGGACCTGGGAGGCTGTTTGGGGTCTGGGCTATTTACAGGGTTCTTAAGGGGGTTTATTTACTATACTGAACTTAGAACCCTAGCAAAAATTACACTTTTAGCTGTTTCTTAGGGATTATAATAACCAAAAATAAAAAATATTTCTAAGTACCCCTAAGTTCAAGGGAAGGGGGGATGAGGAAGTTTAGGCCTACTTTTGGAGCAAGCCTAACTAAGGCTCCGGAAAAACAGAGGGGCTAATCAGGGCCAGTCAGGGAATACTATAGCGAAGTGTTCAAGACCGCCCCTACAAGGTTGAAGAGTCAGTTCATATGCGAGGGTTTAGTATGTAGAGTCTAGGGCCCTAAACAAGCAGACTGTTTAAAGACCTACGCAACGAAATCAGAACAAGGAACCCTAAAATAGGGTCCAGGTAAGGCTTTGTAGGCGAGAAGCGCATCTCCTCCACTGCAGGGGCTGCGGGCGGCTCCTCACCCTTGAGCAGGGCCAACTCTCGCTGAAGCCTGGGATGTGCTTTTAAGCCTGTGGGGTGAGGGGTTCCGAGATTTGGAAACCCTAAACCCTAAACCCCTAAACCGCTTTTGGATAGTTTTCGGTTTAGGGTTCAGGGTTCCTAAACTTGGAGAATCCTTTTTTCGGAGAGTTTTGTATGTTTGTAGGTTCTAGAAAAACACTGGACCAAAGAGTAACCTAGGAATACAAAGGGTGGAGCCTGAACGCTAAAAAAGGGAAAAAGGGCGGACTCTAGGTCCTAGAACATTACAGTGCGGGGCTCGTAAGGAATTTATGGAACTTCAATGAGATTTTGATGGAGCTTTAGAGATTGGGCTTCGCAGTGTGTATGTAGGTTGCTAAAAATCTGAGGCTAAGGGTTACTTTACTTTATGGGTCGATATTCTTAGTATGGATCTCACTATTCGGGCTTTCATGTCTTCAAACTCTCGTCGCGCTGCAGCCCAAAACCCGAAAGCCAAGAAGCCTCGACCCCAAACCCTACTTGGAGGGTCGGGGGACTTAGTAAGTAGGTAGTAAGTAGACTTATAAGTACCCTAAAAGGGACCCTACTTGGGGTTATGGTACTTATAAGTCCCTAAAATAACCAGTTACTAAGTCCCCCGACCCTCCAAGTAACCCCAAATAACCTACCTTAAGGACTTGTTTGAAGAAACCACCATATTAGGGAACCCTCAAAAAGGTAGGTTCCTTGGGGTCCAGGTACACTATGAGGCCCTTTAAGCCTTAGACCCTAAACCCTGAGCCCCTATACCCTAGGATTTTTGGGGGTTGTCCCAGGGCTTCAGGGCTCTGTCGAACTGTGAGGCTTCCAATTTTAGGGGTGTAGGGGTTTAGGGTTTAAGGGTTTAGGGGTTCAGGGGTTTAGGGTTTAGGATTTAGCGTTTAGGTGTTTAGGGTTTAGGGTTTAAGGGTTTAGGGTTTAGGGTCTAGGTTTTAAGGGGTTAAGGTTTTGGGTTTAGGGGTTTAGGGGTTTTGGGTTTAGGCTCTAGGTTTTAAGGGGTTAAGGTTTTGGGTTTAGGGGTTTAGCGGTTTTGGGTTTAAGGTTGAGGGTTTAGCGCTTAACGGCACTACTTGGAGGTTCATGGGTAGCTCCCAGTTGGGCTTATAGGTCGGATCACTACGTTTGTAGCCTTTATGAATGGACGCATAAAATCCAACCCTTAAACACCCATGAACCTCCAAGTAGAGCTGCTGCGATTCAGGACTTTGCAGGTTTAGGGCCAAGTGCCTCGGGTCATCGGAGAGGCCTACGGTTCAAGACTGGGATTCGGGCTTTGGGGTTCAGGGATTAGGGATGAGGGATTAGGGATTAGGGATGGGGGTTTTAGGGTTTTAGGGTTTTAGGGTTTGGGGTTCAGGGTTGAAGGCTTCAGGGATTGCGCTCTAAACTTAAGCCGTGAAGTCTTCTGGGTTCGCAGGGTCCAGATACCTTCAAACCTAAAGTACAGAACTAGCACAGCCTAAACAAACACAATGAACAGAGAGACTCCGACTGCATCGGCAAACTACTCTGACAAGACTACGCGATCACTTTGACTGGCACAGCACCATGAAAATACAACAGTCGTAGCAGCAGTACCAGCAAGAGTAGAGTAGCCGGAGACCATGAACCCTAAGAACCCCAAAAGCCCACTCAGCCCTGTAAGCACCTACAACTCAACCATAAACCCTAAATCCTAAAACCCCAAACCCAGCAGTATCAGGTGGTGGTGATGCTGCTGCTTTTACCCCCAAAAAGGTATAAACCGATAACAATCTCCCATAGACAAGTGTAAGCTTTCTTTCAGCTGCATTGGGGAAACTGTTATCCCCCAGGGTGCAAACTTTCAGTTCCTTCGGGGGATAATATTCTCCCCGCAAGGCAAAGTATATTCATTAAGCTACTAAACAAGCGGTGGAGCAGCAGCAGCAGCAGCCTAAGCCCTAAACCCGAAGCCCTATACCATAAACCCTGAACCCTAGGCCCTAAACCCAACCCCTGAACTCTGAACCCTAAACCCTGAACCCTGAACCCTGAACCCTAAACCCTAAACCCTAAACACAGGTCTAGCATTTCAGCTCTTGGCTTCAGCGACTCCTCCCGATGCTGTTGCAGCGCCTCTGGTGGTTTAGGGTTTTTTTTTAATGCAGTGGGCCTTTCTCTCCGCCTTCGACCCTGCCTTTAACAGGCTTGTTTTAGGGTTTTAGGGTTCAGGGTTTCTCTCTTCTTCAACAACCGGGCCCCAGAAAGTTCAAACTTTTTAAGATAGAGCTGATATATAAGGCCAAAAAGTTTAAAGTTCCCCGTTCACTATCTAAAGTTTAGGGTTTAGGGGTTTAGGGTGTAGGTTTCATGTTTGTTGAGGGTTTGGATCTGGGATTCTGGGCTGGAACAAGCGATCGGCATAGTGCCAGGGATTTCGACAGCCTACATCAAACCAGCCAGACTATTGAGAAATAAGCGAAAGTATATCAACATGAGACTATGCTGGAGCAGCATTTCTCCTAACCGAGTCAGAATCGATATGTATATGGGTGGTTGTCAAAATGAGGGTCCCTGTTTGGGTCCTTATTAAAATACGGCACCTTATATTTAGGGTACCCAAAAAGGGACCATAATTTTGACAACCACCCATATAGCGTCTGAAACACCACAGCCTGAATCCCAGATCTGGAATACTGCACACAGACCGATAACTGCAGCTATTGGAAAACCTTTGGGCTTTGCCTTTACAACTTAGGACTTTCCGAAAACTAGGATACCTTAATTGGGGTCCTAATAATAATAAGGTACCCCCCCCCCCATGTACCCACCGGAAGGAAATAATAACAATCCTACTATTTGGGGTACTTTATTAAGGGGCCCTGTTTTTGGAAACTCCCACTTAGGCCGATTGCATTTCAGGCTTGCCTCTTGCTGCTTCTTGACATCTCCACGCAGCGAGGACATCTCCTCGAGTGCCAGTAGCGGTGTTCATGGTTCAGGGTTCTAGGGTTTAGGGCTTCGGGGTTCTAGGGTTTAGGGCTTCAGGGTTCTAGGGTTTAGGGCTTTAGGGTTTTAGGGTTTAGGGCCGGATGCAGGAAATGCAGGTCCTGGCACGACTGCCCGCATGAAGTCATGAAGGGTTCTGCCGAGTGACCATAGAAGGTGTACAGTACAGAGAATTTCAAAAGGAGAGGCAGTGCTTCGAGGAGACCACACTGCATGTTTTCGAAGCTCGAGGCACCTGTGCTAAAAAATGTACCCTAAACCCTAAACCCTAAACCCCTAAACCCTAAACCCCTAAACATACATCCTAGACCCTATATATACCGTTTTTTAATAAACCAAGGAAGGGCTCCAGGGGATGGATATCTTGGGAGTGCGGACACCTTCTGCAAAAACCCTAAACCTAAACTCTCTACCCCAACTTCTCATAATTAAAACCCTAAATCGCTAAAACCCTGAGAATTCTCCGTTATCTCCCCCCCCCCACATCCGGAACAAACTACGAAATCCGACTCCTGCTGCTGTCGCTCCAGGCGCCCGAGATGCTCATTGACCTCCAAAAAGTTTACAAGCTGGGCTCCAAATATACTACCATTAAAGATTAGGTCCCCGAAACCATAATAGGATGGTCTTTGGGACCTAATTCCATAATGGTAGTATATGTGGACCCTCTGGGTAATTTAAAATGATTACCAATTAATAATAGGGATCTTTAGTAGATAGTATGGTTTCCTTGTTCTGGTAGCTGAAGAAAACTCCGTAACAAGAGCCCAGCAAGGCATAAGGAACTTGATCTGGGGTTTGGAGTTTAGGGTTTGGCTCACCGCACGTCCCACCTTAACAACGCACAGACAAGATTCCTAACTGGCCCTACATACATTCACCGCAATCCCAAATGTAAATCCGCCGCAACAAGTCTTAAACCCGGCCTCCTCGCGCTTGTTCTTTAGCCGCTCCTCTGCCATGTCGTGTCGCGTGCTGGTGCAGAAGGTTTAGGGCTGTTTGGGATTTCAGGGCTGTGGGCCGAAGATAGCTTCAGGCTTTGGATTTCGGGGACCATGTTCTGGGGTTGCAGTGACCCATCAACAATCCTTCATCATCTGGGCTACTGTAAAGGAGGTTGTTGAATAACGGAGCTACTACAGAAAACAAACCATAGCATAAATCAAGGTCCCTGTGTTGGTAGCTTCAGTCAGGTTCCCCAACAATCACCCAGTAATCAAGGGCGAACCACAAGGCTTGGAGGAACAGCCTAAAGAGTCGACTCATCCAGATTCTCGGGCGCAGGTTTAAAGCTTCAGGGCTCAGAGTTTGCTCGCTCCGTGCTTGTTTCTTTGTCTTTCCAAAGTCTGGGCTCCGGGGCTTCAGGGCATGGAACTTGGGGGCGTAGCATCCGTGGCTTAGTTCCAGCATCCGTCGAGGACGAATGACTCCGAGTGACGCTTTGAGTGATGTAAAAACATCAGGGAGTTTCCGAAAATTAGGGGTACCTATTTTGGGGTCCTTATCATAAGGATCCTACTATTTAGGTCACTATATCAGGGTCCCCTATTTTCGGAAACTCCCATAAAAGGCTGAGATCTGGCTGTCGTACATTAGCTTGTGGTTTTTAACCTTAATGTAGGAACCTGATTAACAATTCCTTTTCTGAATCCTACTATTTTGGGGTTAAAGGCACAGGATTTCTAAATCAAGTTCCTACATTACATACGACCCCGAAAGTGCAAGCAGGTCGGCTTTACCCTGAGAAGACACCGTTCCACAGCAGGGATCGCCTAAACCCTAAACCCTAAGCCCAAACCCTAAACCTTAAACCCTCAAGCCTAAACCCTAAGCCCCTAAACCCTCAACCCAAAGACCTAATCCTAAACCCTAAATCCTAAGCCCTATGAGCCCTAAACCCTAAATCCTAAACCGGTCTTCACGGGTAGGCTAAACCTTTCGGGCGGTCCTCCTGGCGCTTGGCTGCCTCGAAGAGACGAAGCTTCGAAGGCTCGGGTTTCCCCCTAAAAGAGCTCCTTTTAAGGTGTTTAAGGTATCCCTTACCTTAAAGGAATTTTTTAAGGAACGCTTAAAAGAACCCTTAAAAGAACGCTTAAAGGAAGGCTTCTTGAGGGTACCTGTAAGGGTTCCTGTAAGGGTTCCTTTGAGGGTTCCTGTAAGGGTACTTTTACCATTAAGGGTTCCGATTCAAGGGCAAAGAAAGAATGTAAGGGCTTCGGGGTTTGAGGGTTTCGGGGCTTGTGGCTTTTACCGGATGCATCTGTGAGTTTTGCATTGAAGGTTGCGGATGAAGGGCTTCAGTTCAGGATCAGGATGTAGGGCATAGGTTGGTTACTGCCCCTATACAGTAACAGCCTATAACAGGGCTACTACTAAGCTCCTAATATAGCTATATTATGAAGACTATCCAACTGTTACTGAGTGGGGGCAGTACCCAAGGCATAGGGTTTTGGGGGTTAGGGGTTAGGGTGCAAGGCGTTTGAGTTTTAAAAAGGCCTGAGGTTGAGGGGGCCGGGAATTCCTGGAATGGAAGAAGGGCGAGAAGGGACCCCTCGACCGTGAACCCCGGGTCCTTAACCCACATGACCACGGGTGTGTGAAGAATAGTACGGAAGGGAAATCCCAAAAAGGCACGGTCCCCTAGTAAGGACTGTAATCGAAGGCACGTGCCTCCTTTATCAAGAAGTCTTGTGATTGCCAATATGTTCACTGCACGCTTATGTCTCAGAAAATGACATCAACTCGGATATTCTTTGTATTATGAACAGCAGGGTTTAAAATGCAATTGAGCTGTGCTAGCACTAAGCATAATCGGCAAATCCAGAAAACTGCGCACTAAACCCCAAAAGTCCTAAACCCTGGAAACCCTAGAAACCCTAAAGCCCTTAGAGATCCAAACCTTAGAATCCTAAACCCGGTAGTCGCAATAAGCCCTGGCAGAAGGCTTCAATGCCGACTCTGATCTCAACTCTGACATTCTTGCTTAGTGGCTGAGTACCCTAGCCTCACTGGCCCAAAACCCAAGGAAATGAAAGGTGAAACTTTCAGAATCGGCTACCTTATAAGAAGCCCAAAGTTGAAAAGTTGAGTCTACAGCCAATAAGTAGACCAAACATTGTAAACCTTTTCAAGTATGGTAGGAGTATATAAACCCCAAAGGGTTGAAGGTTACCTACTCAACTCGACATTGCAAAAACCAGCGGCTCGGGGGCCTGGACCTAAACATAACCTAGGAATGAAAAGGGTGCCCTCTTTGGTTTCAAGCGTGCTATAAGGGGAACTTAAACCCCTAAATAAAAGCCTACTCTGGATCCTAGATTTGGAGCTTCTGCCCAAGGGGCTTTCGTCACAATAGTTTAGGTGGTTCTCTAAATAAGGGTAGCACGGCACCCTTACAAACAGGACCCTAAAAGGGACCCGAATTTAGAGATCTACCCAAACCCCTACCCTCCTAGAAACTCCAAGACCTGCCAAAGTTGATACAAACCTTGTCAAAACCCTGCTTGGAGGTTCGTGGGTAGTTCTAAGTAGGGTTTATAAGCAAGGAATTGTCGTTGTGGCTTATATTAGGGAACCTATAAACTCCGGTTCAAGTGCTCAAAAACCTCCAAGTCAAGACCCTGACTAGAAGATCCGGCATAGAAGCCATATGTTTAAGATTTAGGGTTTGGGGGTTTGGGTTTAGGGCTTAAAACCTCATGCGACTTCATACCACAAAAGCTCCCGCAACCCTAAACCTTAGACCCTAAACCCTATACCCGAGACCCTAGATCCCAAACCCTGAACCCTAAACCCTGAACCGTAAACCCTGAACCCTAGACCCAAACCCGAGACCCTAGGCCCTAAACCCTGAACCCCTGGCCTCCTCCTGTAGGACTCGATCTTTCTCTGCACCCTCGGCCAGGAGTTTGTACCGCGCAGCCTGGAACTGCTCGTTTGGTTTGGGAAGTGGGGGGTATAAGCATGGCATTCAATATAGTAAAACGGACAGATAAAACGACATTCCAAGTATCTTTTAGCTTTACCGACTACGTTCCCGGTCGCCTGAGTAGTTGCTCGTTCAAGGTACTTCAGAACTGCACATAGAACCTAGAGACTCCGTTAACAAGCATACATGAAATCATATGCGGATCCTTCATGTGATGTCATACGCTTAGGGGGTCACACGTTGATATCTGGCCGTCTGTGACTTAGGGCACTCATTTTAGCACACATTCCCCATGCCATCCGCGACATCCGCTTTGGGATCCTACTGCGAGTGCCAGACCCAGCGGTAGACGTAGTCAATGAGACGCCCGTTGCACGAAGAGGCGAAATCGCTGTGAATAGCAGGGTTTTGGGCATGCTTGCAAACTGGCATGAACACTTGTGACAGCGCCTCGTGTTGCTGAACATCAAACATCCTCCTGCAACATGCTGCACAAAAAAGCAAAGATGTTGCAAATAGCAGGGTTTTGGGCATGTTCGCAGATGTCCTGAACACTTGTGACCGTTCCTCGTGTTGCTGAACATCAAACATCCTCTTGCACATGTTGTAAAAACAAATTTACACCAGCGAAAACGCCGTAAATAGTTTTGGATCGGTTTGTGTGACATGGTCGTAACCATCCCCCTCCCCGCTCACCCCCAACCCCCTGTGCCCTCAAATAGAAATCACCGAAAGATAACAGAAACCTACGAAAAGCACACGGCCAGATACACGCGTGCGTGGGCTTAGGGCTTCAAGCCCTCAGCCTACGCTCGATCCAAAATCCCTCAGCGGCCTGAGCCCCCGCAAAAAAAACGATGGCCATGAATTACAGTATAGTCCCTGAAATCATCATGCGAAAACCGCAGCAAAGTGCACTGGGTCCCACCTGAGGGCCCTGAATCCCCAACCCTTAACCCTGTAACCCTATGTATCCCTTGTAGAAGCCTTAGATAGGAGTTTCCGAAAATAGGTAGTACCCTAAATAGGATCATGATTATAAGGACCGGTCCTTCGAGATCCCTTAAAGGATCTGTAATCGGAGCCCATGAAACGAACCCGGCGGACCTCCAACTCGGCTTCCGCCATCTCCTGCTGAAGCCGATCCTTTCCGTCTTTGCATTGAAAGGTCTAGGGTTTAAGGGTTCAAGGGTTTAGGGTTTAGGGGTTTCGGGTTAGAGTTCTTGTAGGAGTTTAAGGATTTAGGGTTTAGGGGTTTAGGGTTTATCTTTTCCGTGTTTGCTTTGAAAGTCTACCTGTAGCCGAAAAGACCTACCTTTTGGGGATTAATATGGTTTCTAAGTCTAGTTTCTTGAAAAGGTAGGTCTTTTGGCCCACATGTAGGATTTACACTTCTGGGGCCTAGGGCTTGCTGGGAAGAAAACTATAGTTATAATTTGTCTTAGGGAACTTGTATCCCCGTACTAACGTCCAAATAGGAACAATAGAAAGTCAGGGTTCGCAGTTTACTTCAAGGGAATCTGTGGCTTTGGGCTTAAGGGCTCTAGGCGCTTGGCCATTTAATGCCAAAGAGCTTGGGGGTTTCTGGGTCTTTCATTCAGGCTACGGTGCGCTGTAGGGTTTGCGGGTTCAGAAAGGGTGCTTATAGAATTTTTTGACTCTGCTGATTCATGTCTGAAGAGTTAAGGTTTTCGAAGAAGTGTGTGCGAACTCCCCGGCAGCCCCGGAGGGTCTAGAGTTTGGATTTTAACGAATCGGATTGGGCTTGAGGGTTTAGAGCTACGGCAGCTACGGGTTTTGGATTTGGGGCTTAAGGGCCTTTGGCATTGCCTAGAGTTTAGCAGAAGAGCTTTTGTCAAGTTTGGGAGATCGCGAGGAAGGGGGCCAAGGGGCATGGACGAGGCATCGCGCGACCCAACTATGCGTGCCAGGGAGCCCACCTATGAAGCCCAGATAGACCTCTAAGACTTTTGGCGCTATGCAACACCCTGGATTGAAGAAAACAACATGTGACGAACACACGGCACATTAAACCCTAAACTTTAAACACCCAAACCCCAAACTCTAAGTGCCCCTCCCCGCTTGCAGCATCCCAGTCTGCAGCGAGCTGTGCCGGATTCGGCGGCACTGTCGTCTTGTCATTTAGGGTTTAGAAGTTTCAGGGATTCATAGTTGATGCCCTCGTGGTTGCCGGATTTTGTCCAGCAACATTGCATGGAAGTATCATCCACTTTCCGGTCCTGGGCGCATCCTTGAACGCAGCGGCACCTGCGGTACGCCTGAGACTCCCTGACATTCCAGTGTCCCTATTAACGAATACACTTTAACTCATACTAAGGATCCTACTGTATGTAACTTGAGGTATATTCCTTCATAAAGGGATAATGGAAGGTTTGGGCTTGTCAGAACTTATATCATTTTTCCCCCAGCTCGCCTGCTGCATCTGTCTCTTTGAACTCAGAAACTCCAATATCCCCCAATTCGGGAATATACTGTAAATTGTAGTGGGATCCCTAATATGATTTAAGGAATATTCTTTAATTAAGGGATATTGGAGTTTCTGGGAACTCAGACGTCAATTGACGTCGAAAGGCGTTCGCATCTTCCGGCAAGGCGGTCTGGTGCTCAGTACCCAGACCCCCGGGAGGATCTAGAAAGTAAATCCCCTAATTTGGGGCCCTGTACCACTAAGGGTATTTTATAGGAACCCCCATTAAGGGATCTACTTTTTGGATCCCCCCGCAGGTCTGGGTAGGGAATGGGGGAATGGATCCCTAAAGAAGCCCCTGTATGATCCCCAATAATAATCTCCATAATCCATTCCGCCATTTTCTAAGAACCAGACCGAAGGAGGTCGATTGCTTTGTATATGGGAGTTTCCGGAAATAGGGGACCCTAGTATAGTAGGATCCTCATTATAAGGACAATAGTACCCTAAATAGAAGCATCCTTACTATAAGGGCCCCCAAAATAAGGTACCCCTACTTTTCGGAAACTCCCATATTGCTGCCAGCCCAACGAGGGGCTCTAGGCCCTCAAGCCGCTCAGGGTTTAGGGTTTCGGACTTCGGACTTAGGGGTTAGGGTTTAGGACTTGGGAATTAGGACTTGGGGTTTAGGGTTTCGGACGTAGGACTTGGGGTTTAGGACTCGGGACTTGGGACCCGGGGTTTAGGGTTTAGGGTTTCGGACTTAGGGTTTAGGCTTTAGGACTTGGAACTTAGGACTTGGGGTTTAGGGTTTAGGGTTTCGGACCGTAGGACTTAGGGTTTAAAGGGGTTAGGACTTAGGACTGGGGGCTTAGGGTTTAAGGTTTTGGACGTCGGTCGCAGGGTTCAGGGTTTGGGGTGACCCTCTTCACTATCCTCAGTGGTCCGCAAGCTATGGAGATGAGCTTTTCTTTGACTTGCACCTTGCGCAGCATACTCAGCAGGCGATTTTCGTTGACGACATCAGGGCATCCAGTATGTGTTCATGGCTGGCCAAGTAAGGTTAGACTACATCGTTAATTCAAAAGCTTGACATATACATGAATAAATTGAATAACGCGACGCCTTTAAACCACCACAAAGTACACAAACCGCATTTCCGAAACAAACCTGCAAAACCCCCTCATGCCATATAAACCTCTCAAAAACCCTTCTTCCTTGACCCGAAATTAGTATTCAGCGCTAACCCTCAACCCAAAGCGAAAGAACATCCTAGAGAACATAGCCCTGAGCTGAACGATCCAAAACAAGCCACCTTTGCCGGTCTACTGGCTCGTGGTTGGGATAGAAATAAACATGTACATTTCTATTCCTTTATTGGGTCGAAGTATCCATAAAAATGTAAAAAGTATCCAGAAAGATATAAAAATGCTACCCAAGTATGACAGGTCTAGGGATCCGGGCTGCCCGGTCTTTCTCCTCTTGAGCCTCGCAACAAGGGCTGTCGCAGGGCCGTTTAGGGCTCAGGGGCTCAGGGTGTAGAGTGTAGGGCCAGTGTAGGGTTTGGGTCTGGGGTTCCGGGTTTAAGGTTCACAATGTAGGCTTTAGGCTTGTTGACGGTTCGTTACCAAACCAACTCTCAAAACAGGGTCCGGCTTTTTGACTAGATAATCATTATTAGCGAAGGTTCCGTGGGCTTGTCAATCACGTTTCATGGCTTATGGAATCTTGCAGGTTTCTTGTGGTGCTCTGTACGGCTTGGGCTTGGTGAACGAGTTCTAAGCCTATGATGTACAAACCGATTTTGATCAGACAAGAACCCTGAATATCACGTAAATGACGTTTAGGGCTGAAGGTCTAGAGTCCAAGCCTGAACTCCTAAATCTCTTAAACCCCAAACCGCTGAGATGCGCTCCTGACACGCAATACTGTGTAACCTCATGGTCGAAAGCAGGGTGGCCTCAGTTCACGCAACTCCGGGCGGGCTTCTTGGAAAATCGGAACGAGATAGCTTGGAGGTGGCGGAGGTTCGCCTGGAGCGCCTGTCCACTTTGGCATGGTCCCGCTGGCCGCGCCGATTGCTGGCAATTGACCGGAGGTGCTCCCAGCAGCTGCCAACTCTGCACTTCCCATTCCACTGGTGCACACGGCATGGGGCCAAGTGGAGGTTCTTAGGCGTGCACTCAGCAAGAACTGATGGTGCTGGTTCCTTGCGCGGATCAGCTGGCGAAGCAGGTCCTGGCAGGCGACGTTTGTTTTGGAAAGCCTTCCAGGCACGCACCAGCTCGCCTCGAGGTGCCGCTTCAATGGCACCACCTCAGGCAACGACCCGAAGCTGTTTCTCTGCATCTCTTGCTCTATATATCTCTATCTCCCTCCCACTCGCTGTAACATATTGGTTGTATACACATACATACATGCCTACCTACCTACCTACCTCCTCCCTCCATCCTTCCCTCCATCCCCCTCATCCGACACTTCATGTGACCCCTGTTGTCCCTCTTCACCTGCATGAGACCTTTGTTGCCCTTTACCACCAAGCAAGCCATCGCCGATCTTGAATCAAGGTGTCAGCCACAACCGAAGATGTAGTAGCACCCGCCCGCGAACCACCACCCAAATCATGAGTCCTCCATTACCTGATCGTTCCCGGCTTTGCGTCGTGCCCTCCATGCTGGCAGGCTCTGGGGATGCATGACGATGGCGTCGATATCGCTCTCCTCAACCCCTTCATCCACCATGCTCGCCTGGATGCTCAGTCGAAGAAAACCCGAATCCCGCATTTGTAGTACATGTTTGGGCACAACCCTTGGCTGATCTGCAGATCCAGGTGCCATTTCAACTTCAATGTGGCATCACTTGCGTGTATGTGTAGTTAGGTTTGTGCTGGGTGCATGGCCATCCTCCATCCCTGCTCAGAGCAATTCTTACAACCAGCAGATCCAAACTGCCTCCACGGCGCTGGCCTCGCTTCCAAAGCGGGCCCCCACCTTTCCTGGGCAGCCTCGTGCTGTACAGGTGCAGCTGCTCCAGGAAGGGGTGGAACCTGTCACTCCCCAGCAGCGACTTTTGTCTTCTGGCCTCTGAAAGTTTATGCCCTGCAAGCTGGCCTCTGGCAAAGATCCGTTGTAAGCTGCCACGATGGCTTCCAGTTTTTCCCTCTGTTCCGGCGTGCTTGCTTCCCGCACATGACAAGCACATGCACAAAAAGAACTACATGCGAAAACAGACGTGCTGCGAAAATGCGAAATTTGTCCCTCTCCCGAATTACACCTCCTGTCCTGGTCGGCCACGTCGGTGAAGCTCTGCTTCTTCCATTCGTGATGAACTGGCAGGTCTTCGCAAACTTCTATTCCAACGTCCACCAGGCTGCCAAAAGCACAGCCCGTCTTTGCGAGCTGCGGTGAAATGCGGCAAAGCTGCGGGCCGAAACCACACCTCGCCCAAAAACCGTTGGGCATCCTCGTCCTTCGGCTTGAGGGCGAGGCTCTGGCAAGCCGCTCCACTTCGTGGAAACGTGCGGTGCCTCCGCCACTGCGGTGGAAGGAACCGTCAGTCTCGATCCAGAGGCCACTTGAGCAGGGCTCGAAAACCAGCCCGCCCAAGATGGATCCTTCCAGATTCCTGGTAGTCCACGACTTCCAGGAGGTCGTCCTCGACGGCATTGCTACTGCGTGTTCGACCGCGATCCGAACGGCCCCTGCAAAAGACGGCAGTCCCTCGCTCCGCCATTTCTGCGACCACACCATGGCCTGTTGCCAAAGGCTGCACGTTGGCTGGACCCACCCAGCAAGAAGATGTCTGGGGAGGTTTAGGGTTTAGGGTTTTTCGGAGTTTAGGGCTTAGGGTTTCGAAGAAATCCTCATCTCAGATCCAGAAACATACAATGCCCGAACCCCCAGTTTGAAACTCCGAAGCCCGAATGCGAGCAGGAAGCCTACCCTCCCGCCATCCATCCATAGCTATATCTATATCTATATCTATATCTATATATCTATATCTATATCTATATATCTATATCTATCGTTGCATATGTAAACCCAAACACAATTATTTGGCATTCTGATCTTATGCGGGCGACGAGCATGCCGAACCCAGCCCCAACAGGGAGGGTGCATGGCCATGTTGTGGCCCATGCCGCCCACGCCAGGGTTCATGGTCATATGCTGGCACATGTGGCCATGCTTGATACGTCGGGTTGAAAATCTGTCTGCTCATCGGGTTCTATGAGCCTCAGTGGGGAAAAGTTGGGTTTTGTAGGGTTTAAAGACTTAGCTGAAGCATGTGGTCACATGGTAAGCTGGGTCATCAGCAAAGCAACTTATCATGCATGGTTGTACTTATCCTAAACCCTAAACCCTAAACCACTTATCATTATGATAGCCGTTGAAACTCCTTGTAATAATTCCTGGAACCTCCACTGTGGCCCCTGCTCCGATCAGCATCGTAATTCCTAAACCCTATGCCCGAAGCTCCCTTAAAGGAACCCTAAAACCCCGAAACCCTCAACCCTAAACCCCTAAACCCTAAACCCTAGACCTCGCAAATCAAAGACGGAAAGGATCGGCTTCAGCAGGTCTCTATAATGGGCCCCTTGAAGGAACCCATACTGGCCAGCCCTGCGTTTCTCCTAGGGCCCCGGGCGCGCTGCTCGCTGGAGAGATGCTTGGTCTGAAGCTCCTACGACTCGAAACCCAGAAACCGGGTTTGGGTTCGAATTAAGGTTTCCTTTACCTACGTGTCGGGTATCATGGGGCACTAAAGGTTAACCTTTTGGGTTATATAGGGATTTTTTTTTAGGGACTATACTACCCAAAAGAGGTTAAAGGTTACCTACTCTGGCACTGGGGGGTCCCTTAAGGGATCTACAAGGGTTCAATTCAGGGCTCCATCAAAAAAAGGACGACTCGAAGCCCAAAAAGGCGATAGGAGCGCAGAAGGTTTAGGGCTTTTAGGATTTAAGGTTTAGGGATTTAGGGTTTAGGGTGTAGGATACGGTACTGCATGGGGCCTTAAGAATTCGGCTAGAGTGTTAGGGTATACTATTCTGTAACCAGACTAAGGAATTCCCAAAATGGTACTGGTAATTAGTGAAACCACTGTATAAAGCAGGCACCCACTAAGTATGCGGTGCTTTGGATCGTCAAGGCCTCTCAGTATCTTTGGCGTGGATACAGGTTAGGCGAAGACTCGAAAGCGCTGCCCAGTATGCTTTCAGAGTGAATGGTCGAGCGTCTATTGAATTGAAGTTCGGGGCCTTCGGATGGCTTTCGGATGTTGGGGCTCAGCATGTTGGGCAGTGCGAGCTTGGGGTGTTTTTGGGTGCTTACGGTTGGAGGTGTCACGTGTCAGGGTCTGCGGCTAACCAGCTGCTATAAGCGATAGTGACTAGTGCCCCTTCATGGCACTTGAGAGCCTTGTCTGCACAACATGGCCGAGTCGAAGGGAACCCTTAGAGCGGGAGCCCTAAGGTGAGGCCAACTTCTACTTTTCAAGACGTGGCCTCAAGGCAGACTCTTGGGGCCTTAGCAGTTGGTGACCACATGCCGCTCTACCCCAAAAAAGGCCTTGTCTGCTTGGAAGGTGGGGGGACTTGGTAAGTAGCTAGTAAGTAGACTTATAAGTACCCTAAAAGGGACCCTAATTGGGGTTTTGATACATATAAGTCCCTAAAATAACCAGTTACTAAGTCCCCCGACCCTCCAAGTGGTTATGAAAGCCCGTATGTCAACCCAAGCCGCAAAGGCGGGCACCTGCACCTTGAAAGAAAGTTCCGTGAGGTTCAGCCTCGGCGTTTGTTTGTGGGGTGCTTTTAAGCTTTTGGGCTTGTATCCAGCGTCTATAGAGTTGTATCACGGCTCCGGGCTTCGAAGGCATTTGCACTTGGGATGTTTGGGGTTTAATTAAGATCTAGTAGACAAGGGTCTGCACTCTGGGTTTCGCGTTGATGAGGATCTGTATCCGACAAGGTTTACCTGTGACGGGTTCTGTCTCCTGCGGGGGCTTGGAGGTTCAAGGCTGCTACAAACACGCCACAGGAGAACGAGCGCAGCCCTAAACCCCAAACCCCAGAGCCTGAACCCTTAGCCCTGGAGCCCCCTAAACCCTAAACCCTAAACCCTAGCCCATATGATGCTTTAGCCGCTCAGGCGCTGGGCCTGTGCAGATTTCCGGCACCCGGGCTTCAGGCAGGCGGCAACAAGCCTCCTACTTGGAGGTTCACGGGTAGTTATAAGTAGGGTTGTAAGACCCCTAATACCGGTTATAACTATAGTTGTCCTACTTATAACCCTACTTCTAACTACCCATGAACCTCCAAGTAGGAGGGGGCTAGGCCGCCAAAAGTATACCGAAAAGCTCGGGTTTTAGGATTTTGGGCTTAGGGTGCCATGACTTACTTCCTTGTAGCTTCCAAGCATAAAACCCTACAAAGGATTCACACGCACGGCCGAAAACCAAAACTAAAACGAAACACGAAGCCTAAAGGGTAACGAGGCCTCGGAAGGCTGAGTTCTGCACCCTCCTACTTGGAGGGGGTGAGGCGGTTGATGATATAAATCCTGCATTACCCAACATGAGGAGTATACCATAATTCCCATAGTTTCGGGTCCTTTTAAGGTAATGCAGGATTTATATCATCAACAGTAGAGGCTTAGGATGTAGGGCCTAGGGGGATAACACGGAGTTACAACTTACAACCAAAACATACGGAAACTATAACCCACTTATAACAACCCATGAACCTTCAAGTAATCCCTAAAACAGTTGACGTAGCTATGACCCTGGCTCAACCAAGTCTGACGGGAGCTGAAGGAACAAGGGCACCCTGAAATACATCTTAAGTACTACTTGGAGGGGGGGGGCTGAATAAGCAGCTTTTGGGTAGTTGTCAAAATTAGGGTCTCACTTTGGACACCCTAAATGATAGATGCATTATATTAGGCACCTAAAAAGGACAACACCCATTTCATCGAGTTATAGTCCCCCGACCCTCCAAAGTAGAATCGCTCCATCCAGTCCTTAAGAATTCTTTGAGAAGGTTCCGCTACTTTAAAGATCCAGTTGGAGATGTTGCGTAGTTATAAGTATAACTAATACTTATAACCCATATTTGGGGACGTATAACCCCACTTATAACCACCCACGAACCTCCAAGCAAGCACTGAAGATGACGCACGTACAGATCCTTCAGAAGTGCTGAGAAACTTGTGACATCCTTGCTGGGACCCTGGATAATCCTCTAAAGACTCCCGAAACCCTAAACTCCTAAACCCTAATTAAACCCCTAAACCCCCTAAACTCCCACACCCCTAAACCCTGAACCCTTAAACTCGTACACGTCTATACCCCTAAGCTCCCACACCCCTAAACCCTAAACCCTGAAACGCCTACACGTCTATACCCTAAGCTCCTAGAACTCCTCATCTCCCACTGTAGGAACCTAATTAAGAAACCTTGGGCCTTTATTAGGGTTTAGGGTTTAGGGATATAGGGGTTTTCGAAAATTGGGGGGTACCTTACTTTGGGGTCCTTTTAATACGGATCCAACGATTTAGGGTACTTTACTAGGGTCCCCTATTTTCGGAAACTCCTATATGAACCCTGCTATTTTGGGGTTACAGGCTCTGGGTTTCTTAAGCAGGTTCCCACATTAGAACTCCTAAGCCCCAAACCCCAAAGTTAGGGACTCCTTCGTTACCCCCGAAACCCTTATAGGACCCTTTATAGAACCATTCAAGCACCCCCCTTTAAGGGAGCCCTTTAAGGATCCAATAACCTACTTGTCGAGTATCATGGGGCACTAAAGGTTAACCATTTTGGTTAAAAAAGGGATTTCGTAGGGACTATACTACCCAAAACGGTTAAGGGTTACCTACTCTATCACTACGGTTGATGATATAAATCCTGCATGACCCATAATAAGGAATACCCCACAACACTCATAGATTAGGGTCCTTAATTAAGGTAATGCAGGATTTTTATCATCAGCCCTAGGATACTTGGAGGGTCGGGGGACTTAGTAGCTGGGTTATTTTAGGGACTTATAAGTACCATAACCCCAATTAGGGTCCCTTTTAGGGTAGTTAGAAGTCTACTTACTAACTACTTACTAAGTCCCCCGACCCTCCAAGTAAGGACCTCCTTAGATCTGCCGTACTTTTATGGCACCGCGGGGCTGGAAATTTCGGACAGCCCGTTGGGCTTCGTCGATCTCCTGTTGATGACCCGAGCCTGGGGGGCGTATTTAAAGGATCATGGGACTTAGTAAGTATGGTTATATGTGCCTTAATTGGGGCTATAATTACTTCGTACTTGGAGGGTCGGGGGACTTAGTAAGTAGTTAGTATATAGACTAATAGGTACCTTAATAGGGACCCTAATTGGGGTTATGGTACTTATGACTCTACAAAATAACTACTTACTAAGTCCCCCGACCCTCCAAGTAGAGGTGGGGCCAGCTGGGTTTAGGGTTTAGAGTTTTTGGTTTTGAAGTTCTGGGTTTAGGGCTTAGGGTTTCAGGAATAGGGTTTAGGGTTTAGGGGTTTTGGGTGTAGGGCTTTAGGGTTTAGGGGTCAGGGTGTAGGGTTTAAGGTTTAGGGTTGAGGATTGCGGGGTTGTATCATAACCAACAAGCTTGCGCCTGCATGCCAGCAGTCCAGCGCAGGAGTAGTAGGACTAGGGGAAGCCGGGGTAGCAGGAGGAGAACGAGGAGTAGGAGGAGGAGTGGGACGTAGCAGAAGGGGTAGAAGGAGGAGTTGGAGATTGTAATAGTAACGGTAGCAGCAGTAGTGGTATCATGGCAGTTTCGAAAGACCCTTACGTATGCATCCCATATACCAGTGTGGTCATGACTAGTGAACAGGGGCCTATAACCCAGCCAATCCTGCAGCTGAATCATGTCAAAAGCCACTGTTGCCGGCAGTCGCAATGTTCAGCTGCCAAAACCAGCCAGGAAACACAAAATCCAAAATCATCAAGCCCCGTGAAACCTTCCAAACCGCTCAAACTCTGCACCCAAGAAGCTCGAAAGCCTAAACCCTGAAACCTCAAACCTTACACCCTGAATCCTGAATCCTGAACCCTGAAACCCTACTTGGAGGATCATGGGACTTAGTAACTGGGGTCACTACTAGGGTAACTACACTTATAATTGCTTATAACCCCAATCAAGGCACTTATAACCATACTTAACTAAGTCCCAGGATCCTTTAAGTAGCACCCTAAACCCTAAACCCTAAACCCTATAGACCCCTTTAAGGAACCCTATAGATCCCTTTAAGGAGCCCTTTAAGGAACCATACTTACTAAGTCCCATGATCCTTTAAGCAACCATACCAAAATCCCTACTCAGCCCTCGAGTCCGAACCAAGCGCCTGCTTGTCCGGCCTCCTATGGGAACTGAAGGCTAATCTTTTGGAATAGAATGTAGGAACCTGATTAAGAAACCCTGGGCCTTTTTTGGGGGCTCCTTATATAGATCCTACTCTTCGGGTGGTTATAGGCCCAGGGTTTCTTAATCAAGTTCCTACATTATAGGGTTTAGAGTAGCTACCCTAAACCCTAAACCCTAAAAGAAAGTTAAACGTTACCTGCTGCGAGGACCCTGTGCACTGTGCTGTGGACTGGTTTCGAGCAGCTCGACCAGCCTCTTCTGCGCCTGCTCTGGACGGTTCTCGGAAGCACATATATATATATATATATATATATATATATGTATACAAATGAACAATAATTATGATGATGACAATGAGCAAAAAAATATATATACATATATATATATATACATATGTATGTATGTATATATATATATATACGTATTCGTGTACATTATATATATATATATATATCCATACATAAAACCATGCAAGCTAAGGCATCTTCTCAAACTTAAACTGGCGGGCACACACCTCACTGGGTCTGGGCTCCAGGCCCGAGCAGGGCGATTCGGGCTCGAGGACCCCAGAGAGCCCAAGACCCCTTAATTAAGGAGTATGGGTTCCTTGAAGGGCTCCTTAAAGGGATCTTTAGGGTTCTACAAGGGAATTCAGGAATAGAGCTTAAATCACAGTATGAAGCCCTATATAATTTAAGCCACATGGAACCCTAGGTATTCCTTAATTAAGGGGTATTGGGCTCTCTGGGACTGCGGGTGGAAGTTCCGCACTGTTCTACATGGTCGGGTCGTCTAATATAGGGGGCCTTAATAATTAGAATAGGATTCCTTTGAAGGGGTGTATAAGGGGCTATAAGGGATCTATAAGGGTACTACTATATAGGGGCCTTAACAATTAGAATAATTAGAGTTTTGGGGCCCATTATACAGTTATAGTTATAATAAGGAAACCCCAAAATAGTATAGGTAATTATTGAGGCTCCTATCTTATGTTAAGAACATGTCTTGGATACCTGACCCAAGCATGGTGCGATCGCAACGGCGCTACAAAGCAACATGGAAGGACTCCTAACAGTTTTCGCAGTGGAAGTCTGAAGGATTTGGGAGTTTCCGAAAATATGGGACCCGAATATAATACCCTAAATGGTAAGATCCTCACAATAATGGCCCCAAAATAAGGGTACCCCTTTGGGCGTGCCAGAACTTAACACCCTCAGCCCCAATGCAGAGAGGGGCCAGCCTCAGGACTAGTGACGTGACCACTCCGCTATTTTCTACGGCCCTTGTGTAAGGGTTTAGGATTTAGGGTTTTGGGTTTGCGTAGAGTGGCCCCTAAACTCAGTCTCTTTTCTATCGTCTCAGCTGGAGCTGGCAGGACAGGGCAGGGCAGCAGGGGGCAGGGCAGGGCAGGGCGTTGCCGGGCAGAGCAGGGCAGGGCAGGGCAGTAGGCCTTGAGTTCAGGGTTTAGGGCAGGACTGATGGAGAATGAAGAAGAGAAGGTTCAGTGTACGGTGTACGGATTTGCTGACTTGGGGCAACACTTACACAACTCGGGGGCTAAGGACCTCCCGGTTGTCTGTGTCAGAAACGGTCCGGAGCCCCATAAAACAGGAATCGCCGCCGCCAACCGGTGCATTGCTTTTGGATGAAAGGGCCTTGCAGGCAAGCATACAACTACGCATACAATCAAATTCTATACACCGACACAGACACACAAACACACGCACACATTATGCCCTAAACTTGAAACGGCCTTTAAACCCAGAAGTCCCAAACCTGGCTCACTTCTGCAACAGCCTGAGGTCTCAAGGCCCCAGACACCAGGCCCCGCTACCTGTACCTCATTTCATATTGTACATATAGCAATCATACAACCCTTTGCTAACTTATCAACACGAACCCATGCAAACGGCCGAGACCCCGACATATCTTCCCCATGAGCCCCAAGCCCTGAACGTACACCCTGCAGACCGCATCTGGCTAGGGAGCCTTGAGCTCAGCATCTTCATGCCGGCGCTTCAGCTTCGTGATCTGTTCCTGTTACGCTCTTGGTTTCGGGCCTCAGGATTTTGGGTGCACTTTGGGATCTTCGTTGTTAAAATTCTGAGGTTAGGTGCTGGCGCTTCAATGCAGAGCCGGCTTTCAGATTGAATGTTGACGGTTGAAAGCCACAACATGGTCCAAGATTCAGTTTTGTCCAGACAAAAACATCTCCCAACAGCCACACGCGATAACACCCTCGTCGGATGCATAGTTTTAGTACCCAACAGCTCCAGGATGATCCCTGAAGCTCTGACTCAACGTGCGAACCTACCCAGAGCCACAACTGGAACCGAAACATCCCTAAACCACGTTGACTCGAAGTCCCAACTCAAAACGGTTAGTCCTTTCGCGCTCCATGTTAAATTTCGGCGGTGACATGAAGGCCTGCATGTTTGGGGGAATCTTCGGCCTCAGCAGCCCAACGGCTTGGCCATGATGATCATGAAGAGGAGGAGGAGCAGGAGCAGAAGCAGGAGAAGGATGAGGATGACGATGGTACCACAATGGTGATGGCGGCGATGATAATTCTGATGAAGTGTCCAGCCCTAGCATTCGAAGCAATAACTAACCCGGTAACTACCCACATGCACATCTCAACCATCAGCGGCGCAAACAGTACTAGCTGACATCTGTCATCCAGACCAACGCTGTGCAGAGTGTTGTGAGCAACTGGCATTGACTTTGGAACTTTGGAACCAAGCCCTAAACCCTAAACACCAAAGCCTAAAACCCTTAACCCTAAACCCCAATCCCTGAAACCCGAACCCTAAACCCCAATCCCTAAACCCTGAACCTTCAACCCAAAACTTCGGCAAGCTGAAGGCATTTCTCGGGTTCACATGTGCTGGTTGCGACTCTGTGCCACAATATGATGCCGATGCCATGCGGGTCGAAGCGCTTTATTTCAGCAGCCGTCCGTGCTGCCAACGAAGAAGACAAACTCCCGAATCCTTGCATCCGACACAGCAGTCTTGTATTGTTGATGACCACTGGAACTTCCAAAAACAATTTGGACTGGTTTGCATGGACCCTCTAGACCCTTGGGTCTTGGAACATGGGTCTTTAAGTAGCAGATACCTGGAGATACGAAAGGGACATCTATCAGCCAAAATAATGGGTGCACTTTCATCAGGCATTGTCACTATATAGACCTTGAACCCTAGAAGCTCAAGCTCCCAGTTGCGGTAACAACCCGAAGTGTAAAAACAAAACCAAGCTTGCGACTAATCCGCGATGCAAACCCGAAACAGACTACATAATCTGTTCGGTCAAAAGGGTTCAATTGATCCCAGAGCACTGCACTAGGCAGTCTTTCGTCGTCAGGTAGCAGGATATCTTAAGTCTCATGCGGGCTGAGTATCCTCAAGGCCAGCCCAAGCAAGGAAGCCAAGTACTTCCAAGTAAAGCAAAGCTCCTACACCGTGTGCCCAGACCCCTGGGAGGATCTAGAAAGTAGATCCCCTAATTTGGGGCCCTATACTACTAAGGGTACTTGATAGGAACCCCCACTAAGGGATCTACTTTTTGGATCCTCCCGGGAGGTCTGGGTTAGGACCAGGACAGGGTTGAGGTGTAGGGCCTGTAGGGTTACTTGGAGGTTCATGGGTACTTATAAGTAGGGTCATAAGCCCCCTAATATGGGTTATAAGTATAGCTATCCTACTTATAACCCTACCTGTAACTACCCATGAACCTCCAAGTAAGCTTACGCGTAGGGCACTGTAGGGTTTAGGGCTTAGGGTCATCAATAACGGCTCTTGAGGCTCCCTTGAGCATCTAAAGCCAAAGGCTATTCCCCAAAAAGCCTTAACCCTAAACCCTAAAGCCCTATGCCCTAAACCAGAAACCGCAAAGCCTTAAACGCTAAACCTCCAAACCTTGCCACACAAACCCGAAACATCCGGAATCTGCAGCCACCCACGACAGAACACGAACACAACCTGACCTCAAGACATTTCGGGTCCTGTGGCGATGTCGGAATTTCACATGGGTTGTGAAGGCATCATGCTCACGACAGCCATCAAAAAAAGGCAAACCAGAGCATGTCCGGTCACGAGAGCAACTAAGACTGATGAAACACTATGCCAACAGCTAGACTGCTGTAAAACGGCCCTGAGCCGAAAGCCCTGTCCGAATCCCGGTGGGAAGCCTCCTGTCTTGTCCCGACATGGTAACACCTATGACAACAGCTGCATGGTAATTAAGGGTGATCTATGTACCTACCTGTAGCTAAAGACCGGGCAAAGCATGAAAGAATGGTACAGCAGGGACTCTGGAATTACTCTGTAAGTAACCCTAAGTTCTAGACCCTAATTCCTCCTCAACTAAACTCTAACCCTGAAGCCCTGAAGCCTAAACCCTGCACCCGAAACCCCCGAAACCCCCTAAACCCCAAACCCCTAACCCCCAAACCCTAAACCCTTAGAAATCCCTTATAGTAACCCTTGTAGATCCCTTTAAAGGAACCCCCAGACCCCCCAAACCCTAGCCCCCAAACTTCCCTAAACCCCCGAAACCCCAAAATCACGAGACCCGACTTCCTGCCTCCAGGGATTTTCGTTCTTTGGAGCTGAGACCGCCTCTCTCTTTTTTAAGGAAAGAAAGGCGCACTTTGAAAAGTTACCTTTGAGGGTCCCGAAAATTCTACATTCGGATTTATAATACTGAGAACCTGCACAAAAGTAGGTCAGAGTAGTTCCGTTTAAGCCTATATCACGACAAGATGAGCGCTTCACGGCTCACATGTTCGGGGTTTAGGATTTACCCTAAGACTCCAAATAGCCCAAAGTAGGTAGCATTTATAGACTTTAGACCCCAAAGTAGGTACTATTTGTATACTTGGAGTCATGGGGCTAGAGTCATTTAGAGTTTAGGGTTCGAGCTTCTCGGTTTAGAAACCCTAAACTCTAAACCCTAAACCCCTAAACCCCTAAACCCCTAAACCCCTACGGCTGTCGGCTTTTGGATTAGGAGCCTCTTCGTTTGGGGAGCCATCGACGATCCTAATGTAGGGTTTAGGGTTTGGAGCCTGCATGATTTGAGCACGGCCTTGGCTTTCACCCAGAAACTCCGAAACTCCCTCATGAAGCAATGTCACCTGAATTTTTTTTACCGCAGCTTTTCTGATTCAAAACCCTAAACCCTAAACCCCTATACAAGCCCTAAACCCTAAAACCCTAGAGCCTAAACCCTGAATAGGGGCTTGGAGTCTGGGTAGGTTCCGCTTCGCCCCCACCGGCCTCCATCCTTCTCCAACTTGGGAGCCTGGTACACGGTCATCGAAAAAAGAGCATGGGTTTAGGGTTTGGGGGTTTAGGGTTTATATAGGGGTTTAGGGGTCTAGGCGCTTAGGGGTTTAGGGGTTTAGGAGGTTTAGGCGTTTGGGGGTTCAGGAGGCTAGGGACTTAAGGGGTTTAGGAGTTTAGGAGTTTAAGGGTCTATAGGGGTTTAGGGGTTCAGGGGTTTGGGAGGTTTAGGCGTTTGGGGTTTAGGAGGCTAGGGGTTTAAGGGGTTTAGGACGTTTAGGAGTTTAGGAGTTTAAGGGTCTAGGGGTTTAGGGGCTTAGAGGTTAGGGGTTTAGGGGTTTTGATTTGAGAGGTCTACATGTAGCCGATAAGACCTACCTTTTTAGGGCTACTTATGACGGCTTCTACAGACAGTTCCTTCAAAACGTACGTTTTTGGGGCTGCAGGTAAACCCTAAACCATCAACTTCAGGTTTAGGGATTTGGGGTTTAGGGCCTGGGGTTTGGGCAGTTCTCTAAACTAAGGTTCCCTTCCAAGGTAGCTTCTTTTCAGGCTGCTGCAGTCTTTGGGGAGCCTGAAAAGGGAGCCTAAAACACAGAACTACCCACACACGGATTCTGAAACTTCAGGTTTTGGGCTTTGGGGTTTAGTGATTAAGATTTGGGGGTCTTCAATATTTCTGTAGGGCCCTATGGGTCTCGGGGCAAAACGACCGAAGAACCCGAGATTGAACACTCCTTCAGCCCGGAATCCGATAATGCATACAACCTTACGTTTAGCATTTTTGTTTGGTTATTAATTACTAGTCTCATGTCTGTTGTCATTGTTGTCGCTGCTGTCAGTGTTGGTATTGTTGTTGTGATTACTATTGTTGCTATCATTATAACATAGCTAGCCTAGGCGCCTCCATTTCAGCTAAAGCCTCAACCCCAAAACCCTAAACCCTAAACCCTAAACCCTAAACCCTAAACCCTAAAACTAAGGCTCCCAAAGAAATCGGACATTCTGCCGAGACTCGAAGGAGTCTTCTTTCTCATGCAGCTCTTCTGCACCACCATGGACCTAAGGGTTTAGGGTTTAGGGTCTGAGGGTGTAGGGTTTAGGGTTTAGGGTTTAGGGTCTGAGGGTGTAGGGTTGTTGAGGGTTTAGGATTTGGGGTTTAGGGCTTGGGGGTTTAACGGTTGAACGCTTAGGGTTTCCAGTATAGGGTTTAGGGCACCAAAAGCCCCCTGACCAAACTCGACTATGTTATAATTCGATAAGTCTCCGAGTCCCTTTATCCGTACATGACTATGTTATAGATGGTTGTAATGTCCAACTCTCAAAAAAAAGACAAGTTTGGTACTCGAGTTGTGAGTCCATGCGTCAGTTAGCTATACTAAACTTAGGTTTAACATGGCTTTCAGTACAGCCTCACACTGTGCTCGTGGACCCTGCCGGACACATCTTTGCAGGGTTATCGAATCTGGGTTTAGGGTTTGGGGTTTAGAGCTTATGGCTTGGAGGTTTGAGGGGTTTCAGATTTTGGGCTTTGGATCCAGAACTCCACCTAGACCCTGCAGGGCATAGAGTATGTAGTTTAATGAGTTCAAAGAGCGGTAGGTTTTGTCTACAGAACCTGAGCCCTACTCCCTAAAGGCGCCACAACTTCAAACGCGGGGCTTCTAGGTTTCGAGAACCCTTGGATCAGATTCGCGGATCCTTGGTCATCGATCTGTCTTGGATGCCTAAGCCCAGCACACAACTGAAGTCGTAGCCTGCCTGTATTGAGCCATGCCGACATTTGGCATACCAGAACCTCAAATATACGCTCCAATAGATAAATGAACTTCAAACCCCCAAAGTTTTGCCGTACCACTGCCTAGACACCCAGTTTTCAATCCGGTTTAGAGCGCAGCGCCGCAAGGCTTAGTTTGGAGGTTAAGCTCTGGTCGTTTAGAGTTTCGAGTATACCCAGAGAGCCCAATACCCCTTCATTAAGGGATATAGCTTAAATCATAATATGAAGCCCTATGTAGTTTAAGCCATATTCCTTCATTCCCTTATAGAACCCCTAGAGATCCCTTTCAGGAGCCCTTTAAGGAACCCTTATTCCTTAATTTAAGGGGTATTGGGCTCTCTGGGTATGGCCTCAGGGTGCTTTGCTGACAACTCATAAAAACCCTTCCGAAATTCAACCCGAGTTCGCAAAAGCAACTTTGGGAAGACGCGGGCCTGTGCAGAATGCATACCTGGGTGTCGCACTCGCTTCGGTTCACTTTTGCTTTTCGGCTTTGCTGCGTCCTTCCGCGAAGCTTGGGTTCCCTAAACCCTACGCGCTAACGGGTTTAGTGAGGGCCGTTGGTGTTCAAGTTTAGTGTTCAACCCTAAACCCCTTAACTTTAAACCCTAAGCTCTCAAGGCCTGAACTCTCAAGCCCTAATCCATGGTTGAAGGGACTCCGGGGCAGGGGTGGTGGCTTTAAGGTTCACGGGTACTTCTAAGTAAGGCTTACAAGGCTCGTTTAGGGATCTATAAGGGCTCTGTATGGGTTCCTATGAGAAGAAGTTCATGCGTAGTGATAAGTAGGGTTAGAAGAAGGATAACTAAAGTTGTAATCGCAACTCTCGGACTGATAACCCCACCTATTGATAACTACCCATCAACCTTCAAGTGGCGAAGGTTGCCAACAAGAACACTGTGCACAACCCAAAATCTTGGGGCTCACCCAATGAAGAGAGGACTGTCTGTTGTAGGTGTTTGGGCCAGTGTCCGCACTCCATGCATTTAGACATCAGAGCAGTAGGAAGACTTCATGATGCCCAAACATCTACACAAGTATTGAAAACACCATACGGTACGTCGCCTGCGACTGTCACCGATGCGGCTATCGTGATCACTTAATCGTGTTTCAAGCGAGTGACCTTTGCTCTGCGAGTAGATCCGCACAACTTCATCCAAGGAGACGGGGTTCACCGGCAAACGGGGCGAGCCCTCGCGCAGTTTCTCCGGGTCCTCCAGAACCTCCACATTTTGAAATGCAGCTCGGGGTGGCCACGGACCTCCGTCAATACATCGGATCGCCCATCACGGTCCAGGGTCCTGTGTGCTCTGTGTGTGTTGGCTTCTTTAACCTTAACAACCTACCTTTTTAAGGATTTATATAAAGAAACCATATTAGGGAACCCTAAAGAAAGGTAGGTTCCTTAGGGTCCAGGAAGAAGCTACGAGCCAACAAATGAGCAGGTTTTAGCAGGGTGAGGCAGACTCTACTGACTGTAAACCTTGCAGCCTACAGTAGAAGTCCCCAAGCCCGAAGCGCAGAACTCCAAGACCCTAAACCCTTTGCCCTAAACCCTCAACCCTGAACCCCAAAATCCCTGAACCCTAAAGCATAAGCAGTACTCCTTCTTCTTTCCGCCTTTCACAAGCCTGAGGCAGCGAAAGTTGTTAGGGCTTCTAGGTCACTACAAGAATTTAGGCCATTATTCTGTTGTAATAGTGGTACCCTTTTTCCTACTATTCGGTTTTAATAAGGGGACCCTAACACAAAAAAGGCAAAAGGAAAATCCTCCATAACCGAGGATACGTCGTACCTATCGGGTTCTATGAATGTTCTGTGGTATGTAAAGAAACTGTGCAGGTTTTGCAGTTTGTAGCGGTCTCCATTGTTGTTGCTTTGCTGGTCACCTTATGGGATCGTGGATATGTGGACGTTGACGAAAATAGGGCAAATAGGGGACCCCAATATAGCACCCTAAATAGTAGGATCCTTATTATAAGGACCCCACAATAAGGTAGCCCAATTTTCGGAAACTCCCATATGTACCTGGTGAGGCCAAATAATAACAGGAACCGCGGTAGAGACGAGTAGATTGAGGAACCCTACGGAAGACCAGGCGAAATCCTTCAACACCCGCCTTGGTTTTGCCCCTGTTTAGGGTTCAAGGAGGTTCATGGGTAGTTAGAAGTAGGGTCATAAGCCCCCTAATATGGGATATAAGTATAGCTATCCTACTTTAGTTTTCCGGTGTTGCTTCTCCGCGGCTTTAGTGAGGGTTGTCATAAGGGCGACTAGCGGAGCTTAAGGATCTGCGGTGTAGGGTATAGAGCTGAAGAGGGTTTAGGGTTTAGGGACCCTAAACAACTTAAGGATCTGGGGTGTAGGGTTTTGGAGCTGTATAGGGTTTAGGGTTTAGGGACCCTAAACTTCCTAAACCCTAGACCCTAACGGTTGAGGGTTCCTTCGCGGGCGCCTGAAGGCTTCAGGAGGCAAGGGTTTTCCGGGCTGAAAGGGGGTCGGAGGGCTTCGGAAGCAAGGCCATAAGACTTATAGTATAAGTATATGTAAGTATTAGGGAGTGGTATAGTTACTATGGTATAGTTAGGGTGTAGGGTCCCCGAATCCTTCAAGCAGGGCTTAGGATTACAACCTTTGGGGTTCGGTTTAGGGGTTGAGTGTTCACGGTTTAAGGTGTAGATTCAAATTTTCCTGTTGAGGGCTATAAGGATTCTTGAATTAGGCTGTAAGGCCTGAAGGGCCTGTAGGGTTAGGAGAAGTTTAGAGTTTGGGGGCTAAGGGTTCGGGGTTTAGGATTTCAGCTCGATTGGGGTAGGGACCGATAGTGCTAAACTCTACAAACCTAAACCCAATATGAACCCGAAATCTAGACACGATAGAAACCGTAACACCCTATACAAACCCTACAGGGAACTCCAGAAAGTTGGAACATGGTTTCATGGTAGGATACCCTATAATTTACCATAGAAGGGTTAGGATAATCATATTCCAACTTTCTGACTTTTACCTTAAGCCCTTTATAGACCCTAAATGGGATACCCTTCTGATCTTCTTCATACCGGTACGTTGGCACTCCGAGATTCCAAAGCCGCTTACTTCGGGAATAGACCTTGACTTAGGGTTTGCGGTTTAGCTTAGGGATTAGGGATGCTTCATATGATTATGGTTTTGGAGTCTCAGGAGATATTCACGAAGTCTTGACTATGTGGCGGGAAGCAACTACCAGGCAGCCTAGCACTGGCCATACATCATAGCACGGTTCCTACTACAACTTCGGGGATGATGTTCCTTTCTTGGGGGCTCGTGGGCTGATTACCCTAGCCCGAAAAGGTTTAACCTTTTCGATTATGGCAGGGTTATATAAAGCCCAGTTGAAGGTTACCTACGCAGATACTAAGCTCAACGAAACCCCAAACCCTAAACCCTAAAACCTGAATCCTAAACCCTCAAACCTAAATCCTAAACCCTAAAACCTAAATCCTAAACCCAAAACCTAAATCCTAAACCCAAAACCTAAATCCTAAACCCTGAAACCTAAATCCTAAACCCCAAATCCTAAAACCCTAACACCTAAATACCGAAGTCTCTCGGGAGACTCTCTAAGTTAATCACACATTACCATGTCGCATCGCGGCTCCGGCTTTCGGCCTTTAGGGTTTAGGGGGCGGGGGTTTAGGGGTTTTAGGGGTTTAGGGGTTTCGGGCTTAGGGTTTATGGAGTTTAGGGTCTAGGAATAGGGTTTAGGGTTCAGGGTATAGGATTTATGGAGTCTAGGGTTTAGGGTCCAGGAATATAGGGTTTAGGGTTTAGGGCTCAGGGATGAGAACACTTCCGGCACCCGAAGCACGGCGCACAAACCAAAAATACAACAGAACTAGCCGCTACTCAGACGCCATGACCAATCTATACAGATACAGCAAGCGCACTGACATACCCGAAGCCAGGAACTGCATCAACCATAAACCCCAAAGCCCGGAAGCCTAAACGAAATGCGAACCCTTGTAGTCATGAGTGTATTTGGAGGATTGGAAGACTTCGTCATGCCCCGGAATACTCCTTCAAGTAATTCAGGCCCCTAAACCCTATAAGCCCTAAGCACTGAATCCTAAACCCTAAACCCTAAACCCTAAACGCCTAAACCCCTAAAACCCCTAAACCCCTAAACCCCTAAACCCCTAAACCCCTAAACCCCTAAAACCCCTAAACCCCTAAACCCCTGAACCCCTAAACCCAAAGCCCTAAACCCTAAACCCCAAACCCACGCCGCTAGTTTCAGCTGAGGCACTCCGCCAGTTCCTTCAAAGGATCATCCTCATCTTCGGCGGCCTGGCCGGATGGCTTAGAAGAGCTCAAGGACCATCGCTTACCAACCGGGTTAGAGTTTGGGGTTTAGGGTTTAAGGTTTAGTAGGTTTAGGGTTTAGGCTTTAAGGTTTAGGGTCTAGGGTTTAGGGTTTAAGGTTTAGGGTTTAAGGTTTAGGGTTGAGGTTTTAGGGTTTCCCTCAGCCGGGGCAATCTTGGAGTTTGGGGTGTGGAGGCGGGAAGCCGGTGACACAAGGGCCTTAATTTGGTGGGTTTTGGTATACTAGGTGTCGAATTCCACAGTCCCCAAAAGGATTGAGAATTAGGGCTCCATATTAGACAAAAACGGAAATTACAAATGATCCCAAATCGGCACCTAGAACAATATGCCAACGGGGCAAAAGTATATCAATCCTCAGACCTCCGTCGCAGTGGCAGCATTCAGGGTTTGGAGATTAGGGCTTATAAGATTTAGGCTGATTTAGGGTTTAGGTGTAACCAGGTGGTAGGATTCAGGAATGCCCACGTTCCCGTCTAAACCCGCGAGGCAATGATGTGCCTTCTTCGCTTCGCAAGGATCGAACGCACCATGAGGTCAGGTGTGATCAGCAAAGTATCTACGCGCCTCTAGCCGGAATCGCAACAGCAATCTATGCCCGCACCCATCTCCGTCGTTTATCAGCAAAAAACGGCAGAAATCTCTGCCCAACCCTTAGCCACCCGGAACCAAAAAAGAAGTGTTCCAGGCACAACCCAAAGCCCTGAAACCGTAGTAAACTGCCAGACTCCATGAGAAGATCCGTACTATCAACACCCGGCCCTGATCCCTACAAGAGTCCCATCATACACCCCGGTTTGCCTTCCCGTGACTTAGACGAAAGCCCCTAAATCCGAAGACCTAAAAACCCTAAACAGGTGAAACATTATGAGACCCCATAAGGTCTAAACCCTAAAGGCCTGAACTCGAATACCGAATCCTTCCCAGAGAGCCCAATACCCCTTTCAGGAATATAGCTTAAATCATACTATGAAGCCCAATAAAATTTAAGCCATATTCCTTCATTCCCCTATAGAACCCCTAGAGATCCCTTTCAGGAGCCCTTTAAGGAACCCTTATTCCTTCATTAAGGGGTATTGGGCTCTCTGGGTAAACCCTGAAACAGGCGACCGCCTCCCACAATCTGGCTGAAGCAGATGAAAAACTCTAAAGGTCTAAGATTTATACCCTAAGGCTCTAAGGACTCATGTATTTAAGGCTTTTGGGCCCAAAGACCATACTACATAAGGCTTTTGGGCCATTTTGAACCAATTCTGCAAAACCCCTTAACCCCACCTGTACCCTAAGGAACCTAACTTTTGTAGGGTTCCCTAATATGAGTTCTTTATATAAGTCCTTAAAAAGGTAGGTTATTTGGGGTTAAGGTAAGACTCATAGGGTTTAGGCTTTTTCTTCCAGAAGACCAGAAACCACCAAAAGACCTTTGATGAACCCGCTAAATTCTCAAGGACACCATTTACAAACATCTATTGAAAGAACCTAAACCCTGAACCCTAAAACAACCGCGAACCCCGAAACCCCTAAACCCTAAACCCTATCGCAGGAACCGAGTCTGAGAAGAGGGAAGCCTCTGTGTCGTCGTCTGCTTTGAAGAGGCTCTTACTCTTCTGCTTCTCCTCGAGGTTGAGGGTTTGGAGTTTGAGGTTCAGAGATTAGGGCTTAAAAGGTTAGGATGTTTTCGTTGAGCTCCTTTTGTCCTTTTCTGCGAAGTTTAGGGTTTAGGGTTTAGGGCTTTACGGGTTTAAGGTCGAGGGTTTAGGGGTGAGGATTGAGGGTTTTGGGCTTAGGGTCCTCGAAGAAAGCAGATTCAGTCTGGCGGTCGCAGGCTAGGTAAGGCCTCTCGGAAACCCTTCCAAAAGGCTGCTTCTGCCGTATTTTAGGGTTTCGGGTTTAGGTCATCTCCGGCGGTCGCGTCGAAGATGGCCTTGACGGACACGCTGTGGAGCAGCTCTTCGCAGACCTTGACGTAGTGCATCCCTTATATGATTTAAGGAATATTCCTTAACTCCCTTATAGTACCCTTATAGATCCCTTTAAGGATCCCTTTAAGGAATCCCTTAAGGAACCCTAGGAGTAAGGCTCGTTTGCATTGCCGAACTTTGGTCTTCTCTCATCGGAGTGGGGCGTGGTGCCCCCCACGGCAATCCGCCCCTTGGGACCAAACAGTTTGGCCTTGTCCGACCCGGAGAGCACAAACATTTTGTCATACGGTGGCACCGGCGCCGCCTGAATTGCTAGGCCATGTGAGCTTCCCTTGAAGTGCAGGCGCGTCTTCTTGGCAATGTTCAATCCGGATGGTTTAAATTTAGGGTATTATAGTGCTTTGGTTTAGGGCTAGGGACTGCAACACAGAAAAGGACCTCGAGGTAAGCCATTAAGGGAATATCCCTACAAATGGGGAAGGGTAAATGGATAGTGTCTGGAAAGTTTCTCTGTCCCGATCCGAGACCCTACATCCAATTCTTGGATCCTGAATCCGAAACCCTAAACCCGAAACTCTCAACCCTAAAGCCCTAAACCTTAGACCCTAAACAGAACTTTTAAACCCTTAACCCTTAAACCCTATATAAATCCAAAAATAATCGAAACTCTCAAACCCCTCTGCCGGCTGCCTCTGCAGCACGTTGGGCGAGCTCTCGCTTCGAGGGCGCCCGGCTCAGCACATCGGCGATGGCCTGCTTCTCATAGATTCCAATATCCCTTAATTCATGAATATATCTTAAATTAGCGTAGGATCCCTGATAAAATTTAAGGAATATATTCGTTGATTAAGGGATATTGGAATCTCCGGCTGCTCACACTCCTAGAAGGGCTCCTTTTAAGGGCTGAGAGTTCCTCGTAAAGAGTTTCTCAAAATCTCGAAGTGATTCCTTTTGCGTTTCATTTTCAGGGGTTCCTCGAAAGACTTCTCCCTAAAGCCTAAACCTTAATTCGAAGATTCTTATCAGGGTTCCTTTAGCCGCTCCTTTTCACGGTTCCTTTCCGAGTTCCTAGGAGCTGCGATGGCCTTGGGTTTTGGTTTTGGAAAGAAAAGGGGTTTAGGCCGTAGGCTTTACGGGTTTAGGGGTTAGGGGTGGGGTCTGTGGGTATTACTGTTCCTTCTACTACGTACAACCATGCTTCTTCTAGCTGCACGTAGTTCAGCAGCAGGGTCAGGAACCTGATGGTTTTTTTTGTGAGGCCCCGGGTGAAATGCAATGCCAAGTAATCCCTAGAGAATGTTAGCTTGCTTTTCCGTGTCAAAGTGTGCCGCGGCAATCCAACCGAGTGGTTGTCAAAATCATGGTCGCCTTTGGGGTCCCTAATATAATACGGCACCTATTATTTAGGGTACCCAAAAAGGGACCTTAATTTTGACAACTACCCCACGAGGTGCCATCAGGCGGAGGCCAAGAACATGCACCTTGTCGCCCATGTCAGCTTGTCTTTCTCGAATGACCTCTACGAACAACCCTGCGTACTATTGTCATACGGTATAATGCCTGATGGTATCACCAATATATCTCATGCTAGTACTAGTATCACTGCTCATGCCGTGAATGCTATCGTCACCCATATTGCGAACCTTCTGGCGTGATGCATCCTGTTTCTGTGTTAGTTCTGAGCATGCTCTATTGTCACGACTATGGCAATGATGATCTCCAGACCCCAAAAGCCCAAAATGCTCACCCTTAAATTCTGCATTGAGCCCCTAATCCCTTAACCCTGAACGCTAAAAGGAAATCCCTAAACCCTGAACCCCATTTCCCGAACTCCTGAACTTGGAACCCTTCACCCTCAATATCGTCTTCCTGACAAGCCATAGACCCCTAAACTAGACGCACACAGAACTTGGCCCGCGTTTAGGAAGTGCATGATTTTACAACATCTGTTAGCCTCCTACAGAGCCCCTAAACTCCTGTGACCCCTGTCAAAGGAACCTGGTGAAATCCTGTAAGCCTGTAAGGCACCTTATGACGCCCTTCCCTACAAATACACAGACGTGTACAGAATATGTACATATATATATATATATAACTATATACACTTGTAATATATATATATATATATATGTAAACACACACTGCGCACAATAGTAAGACAGAGTCTGATCTAAATGAAAAGAGGGCCGTTGCCTTGAACTTGTTGCTGGCGGCGTAGCTGGCAGCGGTGTGCCCATAGCTATTTTGGATGTCCTTCGTGGAGCTCTAAAGAGGGTTGCTTAACCCTAAGGCTCAACATGGCCCAAAAGCTTCATATGGCATGGTCTTTGGGCCCAAAAGCTTTATAATATGAGTCCTTAGTGCCTTGGGGTAAGGCTTTGCTACATGGGGCTTTGCCGAGTGCTAGAAGAGTCTGTTCCAACAGGTCTGTAGACGAGCGTTTAATCGGGGATGCATACAGTTTATGAGGTTCGGGGATGGGGCTGGGTCAAGGTTGATCCCCGAGCCCAAACCAATAGATCTCTTGACCTAGACTCTTACTCCTAAACCCGGCAGTGTTCGGCTTTAGGGCTTTGGTCTCCATCCGGTTTTAGGAAACTGCTGACTTAGTCATCTATCCCCAGTGACCTAGGAACAAAAACGGCACGCGTTTTGGTGTTGGGTAGTCTTGTAACGAACCTAAGACCACTCAAAAGGGAAAACTGGCAACTGTCAGACCTAGTACGCTTGGTAAACCTTACGTAAACCTCAAAGCCTTAAACCTTGAATTGGTCCTACTTGTGCTGGAAACTCCACGAACATGCGCTAACGCCCGAAATCACAGCCCTTCCGGTTTTGACGGTATGCCCTCGACCCCGTAATCGTAAGAACTAAAGGCTTTGGGGCTTGGGGTTTAGGGTAAACTCTAAACCCAAAGCGGCAGGCCATGTACGATTGTGGGTTATGGACCTGGATCCCGCAAAAGGATTCACCGAAGGGTGTTGGGGTTTCGGATGGTTTAGGGTTTTGGGGGGCTAGTATAATTGATCGTGCCTTATCCGCAACCCTCCTTGCCAAGGGCACACACCCAAGAAAGCCAGCGAACACGAATTAACCTTGCTTTACACGGTCACAATTCGGCAAAACCCCTGAACCCCACCTGGACGATAAGGAATTCTGGGGCTTCTTACTATGATTTCTTTATATAAGTCCTTAAGGTAGGCCTAAAACCTTCCGGCGTCCTTCCGTGGGTTGGCTTTGAGGAGCTCATGGACCTTCCCGGTGTTCCGCTCTTAGGGTCCAGCGTGTAATGTTTAGAATCTTTTCGGATCCAGGGGAACCCTAAACCGGCACCCTAAAAACCTTAAACCCTAAACCCCTAAACCGGCTCCCTAAACCTTAAACCCTGTTTCTGGTTTCGGCGACGGTCCGGTGTGGGCTGGCCTCTGTGGTTCTCCGGGGCCTCCTGCCGGGCTTTGGGAAACTTAGCCCTGAAGCCTAAACCCCAGACCCCAAATAACACGCATCCCATAATCTACATTGAGGTCGTATGGTTGTTAAATTGAGTGTCTACCCAGAGAGCGCAATACCCCCTAATGAAGGAATATGGTTTAAGCTATATTCCTTGATTAAGGGGTGTTGGGCTCTCTGGGTAGGAGAGAGCACCACCGAATTCTTGGGATTGATGGGTTTGGGCTTCTGGAGCCCAGGCATTGGATGTTGGTCTGAATCCTGGCTCTTCGAACCCCCCACTCCCAAACCCCCTCAATCACGGAATGAACCCTAAACCATGGATAAGGATCCCTCCACAGCTAATTGGCACTTGTCTCTGGAGTTTGTGTAGTCTTTGAATTTGGGCTTTAAACTGGGGGTGGTTCGGGTTAGCGTTGTCCTTGTCATGAAAACAGACACTTTTGTCAAAACCCTCCAAACCTAAACATGCCTTAACTGAAAGCCAACATCGCAACACCTACAAGCGCGAAAACCTTACAAGAACCTCACAAGAAGCGCTCTTGAACCCCTTACACCCTTATAGAACCCTTACAAAACCCTGTAGGAGCCGTAGGCTCCAAACCAGCTACACCCCAAACCCTAAATTCCCAAACCCCAAATGCCTAAGACAAAAAGCCCTTGTGGGTCTAGCTTTTAGGATTTGCAGTATTGGGGTTTCAGGTTTCAAGACGTTCAGGGTGTATTTAGAGAGCCCAATACCCCGAAAATTACGGAGTCATAATATGAAGCCCAATAAAATTTATGCCATATTCCTTCATTCCCTTATAGAACCCCCAGAGATCCCTTTCAGGAACCCTTTAAGGAACCCTTATTCCTTCATTAAGGGGTATTGGGCTCTCTGGGTAGATTTCTGAGGCTCCTACCACGTCAAGCCGTGCGGCCGAAAGACCGTGCAGTGTAAGAGGTTTGTCGCTGCACGTTAGGGTTTAGGGTTTAGGGTTTAGGGTTATAGGGTTTAGCGTCGTAAACATCCCGTCGCAAACACCCACCCAAACCCCGAACAACTCTACCAAAAGACTATAAGAACCTTACAAAGCACTTGTGTATTTTTTTCAAAAACTCTTGGTTGAGGGACTGGTTCAGCAACTTAACAGGCTGAAAACATGGCTTTAGAAGCGGGAAGTCCAGTCTACTAAGGTGCCGATGCTGACACTGTCACAAGGCGTGGGCTTTAGGGTTTCGGGGCTAGGGGTGCTTACTTGGAGGGTCGGGGACTTAGTAAGTAGTTATTTTATAGAGCTATAAGCACCATAACCCCAATTAGGGTCCCTACGCAGGTACTTATAACTCTATAGAAGAACTACTTACTAAGTCCCCCGACCCTCCAAGTACGGTTTGGAGTCTAGTAAAGCCATAAAGCTTCCGGAAAGGAAATGCAGACTGGAAGAACCTGAAAGACTGAACCCCTGACTGTGCTTAAAGGTTAGAAAAAGGCCTGGGGGACCTTATAATTACTCTAAATCGCTTATACTAAGGAACCCTTAAGGAACAATACTGGAAATTATTCCAGCACCAATACTCTTTCAGCTGGGTCCACGGACACAACTCAGGTGGCCGTGGTAAGCGGCGTAGTGCAAAGCCTGCTCGTTCATGTGCATGGAAAGGAGCCAAAAGGGTTTAGGGTTTAGGGTTTAGGGGTTTAGGGGCTTAGGGTTTAGGAACCGCTAAAAAATGAGAGCTAAACCCTAAACCCTAAACCCCATACCCTAAACCGCTGAACTGCAAAATGCGAAACCGGCAGAGCGCTTGACCATACCACGGGGGGGACTAGGGGATGGGAGGCTTCTCGTGCTTCTTGCATTGATTCCCACCAGCTGCACCGATGGAGGTTTCGGGTTTAGGGTTGAGGGTTTAGGGCTATATAATGGGTATATAATAGCTATATTAGGGGTATATACCCAGGGGTCCTTGTTAAGGGTCCCTCCTTTTTACCCTTGGAGTTTAGGGTTTAACGTTTTAGGCTCGCAACCAAAAGTTTCAGCCATCCTTGAGCTCCCAGGAGGGGCTTTTTAAAGCCTTTGAAAAATATTAGTAGGTAAGATCCTCTTAAGCCGAATAAGAGAAAATATAAAATGTCCCAAAGCCCTCCCTAGGCTCAAGCCCTGAACGGAACACTGATCAGACAAGCTCTGGGAGTCACACCTACTAGGATACCCAGTAACCTAAGGTTAATCAGACTTCTCTTTTTGATATTGGGTAACTTTATAAGGAACCTAGGACTACAATTAGGGAATAAGGGTACTACTGGGCATCCTAGCCTAGTTCATTTTTGGGATAAGACTAAAAATCTACATGGATATTCCTTGTTGGGTTTAAGTACCCATAAAAATCTAAAATGTTGCCCAAATTTGACAAAGACACTGTGTTTCCATAATCGTCCACGGCATCCACCGTGGCGTTTGTGAGCCGAAGTGCAGCCACCAAGTCCTTGTGGAGTTGAGGTCAGCAGACGGCAGTGTCGATGTTGCTGTTAATGGTGGTTTAAAGGTTCGAGTGTATGCCTTGGGCTGTGACCCTGATGACGATGATGACGATGAGAGCTTCGTTTAGGCCGCGCAGGCTTAGATGAGGAGGGTGGTGATGATGAAAATGACGACGATGATGACGGTGATGATGATGACGACCAGGAAGACAAGGACCAGTGGCTCAAGCAGGGCAGTACATAGTGTTGCTGTGATGAAGGTTGCTGCTGCTGCGGCGACGACGACGGCGTTGAGGAGGACGAGGAAGAGGAGGACGACGACTATGACTACAACCGCGCCGAGAGCGACTGCGACTGCGACTACGACAACCCGAACCCTGAACCGGAAAAGACGCTCAGATAAAATCTGACGTCCAGAAGTCCAGAAACAGGCTGGGCTGCTGGCAAAGTCCTTCCTAAATGCTTTAGAGCTCCATTTATGGATCATAACTTTCGGAGTCCTACTCAGTCTCAACATCCGTAGCACCGGAGGCAGGTCCCTAAACCCTAAACCCAAAGCCCTAAACCCTAAACCCAAAACCAAAACCCAAAACCCTAAACAGGTGTCTTTATCCTCTCCTAGATTCAGTCTTCGCACGGAGGCCCTGAAGCCTGAAAGCACACTTCGACCCCATCCCGGCTTTCTATCTCCTTGTGGCCGGCGCCTGCGGCCTCACACATGCTCAGAACGGTTGATGATATAAAGGGGTCCCTTTCAAGGGATCTATAAGGGTACCTTTAAGGGGCTCCTTTAAGGGATCTATAGGGCTTTAGGGTTTAGGGGTTAGGGATATAAATCCTGCATGACCCATAATAAGGAATATACCATAATTCCAATAGTTTAGGGACCTTAAGGTCATGCAGGATTTATATCATCAACCGAAGGAGTACTTTCAGGGGTGGCCTTGCTCTGAGCAAAAACTTCTAGCAAACTGGGCACTGTACGAGGAACCTCTATTTCAGAAAAATTCACCGAAGAAAATGGCTGCACGGAACCGCCAACGCTAGCACAAGGGCCTCAAGAATTCAAAGTATGGTTTCTTAGGGTTCCTGTTGTAACTGTCGTACGTGCTGCCCCAAACCCCTATTGGATTTATTCAGACCCCTATGCCAGAACACCTCCGTTTGAAGTAACCCCACACTTGACGTCTGCGTCTGAGGGCCCAGCCTAAACCATAAACCCTAAACTCGGAACCCTAAACCCTAAACTAGGAGCCCTAAACCCTAGACCGTGCAAGGGAGGCTTCAGGGTCTTACAGTTCAGTGTAGGGTTAGGGTTTACGGTAGGAGGACATAGTAGGCAGTTATTTTATAGAGCTAGAACTACCCCATAAGGACCCTAATTGGGACTACGAGGCTAGGTATCGATTTCAACGGTCCCCAAACTTACGTGTAAATAGGGCTCTCCAATACTAAACAAAACCCTAAGGATCCAAGTACCTAATAATCATATACTCTCCGAAATCCTCATAACTACTATCCTCGAACCGAGTAGCTGATTCTTGGGTCCTTCGGAATTTTGGGGACAAGGGAAGCTAAACATTATCCCAAACCGATACCTAGGAGGGCTTAGGAGGCTCGTCGGGCTTCATGCCCACAGCCGTACGGTGGGAGAGTTGGTTTGCATAGCTGGCCATGCCCCTAAAGCTCTTTGCCCCTGACCCGAAGACTAATCCTAGACACCCCGAAACACAGAAACCCTCAGAATTAGGAAACACCGACAAACTTAAGGTAGAAGCCAGAAAGTTGGAATATGATTATCCTAACCCTTCTATGGTAAATTATAGGGTATCCTACCATGAAACCATATTCCAACTTTCTGGAGTTCCCTGTAGGGTTTGGTCGTGGCGAGGGGCATGGGGTGTAGCGTTTTGGGACGTGGGGTTCCGGATTTTGGGTATACGGGTTCCCAGAGAGCCCAATACCCCTTAGTGTAAGGAATATGACTTAAAGTATGATATGAAGCCCCATATAATTTACATAAGCCATATTCCTGAAATAAGGGGTATTGGGCTCTCTGGGTTTACGGTTTAAGGGTATAGGGTTTGGAAGTTCCTGCTTTCCAGTTTGTTTCCCCAACCCTGATTGCATTAATAACCTGGCCCCAAACCAGTCAAGCCCAATCCCCGTAAGCACGACATGCCTGAATGAGTACTGTTGGGAATGAGAAATACTGTTCGGTTATGACTTATAAACCCCTATGAACTTGTACTATAATGTGCCCCAAGGACGTACCTTGACCTACCATAACCGACTTTTACGTTGATTCTTGACTAGAATAAACCCGAATGCAGAATGCTTTATAAACCCTCATACTTAAGTTCAGGGACCTTAGATAAATGTTGGTTTTTGTGGTTCAACATGTTCAGACCCCTAGTATTCGCGGAGGCCTCCATTAGCGGCGTCCGCCCTCCATGCCCCTGGTTCGCGACGTCCTGGTGCACAGGGTTTAGTGTTTAGGGCTGGGTTAGTGTAAGCTTTTCTGGATAGTTTACCAGGTCGAGTAGAAAGCTCTAAGCCGGAACCGAACCCCTGTACCCTGAACTCGACACAGAATTTCAAGAGGGAGCATATGCACTGTTACTATTGTGGAAGTAGGCATGGAAAAATCATCGCAGTTCTGCCTGGAGGAAAAACAGGGCCCAGTTCTCCGATTGCGGTGTTATCGCTGTACATTGTATTGCATCAACATCGGGAGAAGCCGTAGCAGCATCAGATCTGCAAAAAAAGTCATCAGCGCCACCATGACCGTCATACGGTTGATGATATAAATCCTGCATTACCCATACTACAGAATGAAATGCACCATAATTCCTATAGTCTAGGGTCAGACATTAAGGTATTGCAGGACATCTTCTTCTCTTAAACATCACCCGAAGCCACATGAATGGCAGCAGGAGCAGAATCACCTGCACAGCAAGCTCAAACCCTAGCCTCAATAGATCCTCCCTAAACCCTAAACCCCAAACCCTAAACCCTGAAACTCAAAGCCTAGACGCTGGGTCTGAAGGCTACGCCCCAAGCTTTTTCCTCATGGTGTTATAAACCCTCTCACCTTCCAATTCCGAGTCCGCTTCGGTCAACTCTGAGACGAAAGAAAACCCACCAAGGCCCAGCAGAAGTGACAAAGAGCAGGCGAAGGCCCAAACGCTCGAGACCCTGTAGTATATAGCATATGTAACAAATACATATAACAAATACATATATATATATATATATATATACAAAAGTCATGCAATATACTATCCCTCCATGACCGAAGAAACTTCCATGAAGGGCAACGTCTAAGCAGAAGGAGGAAAACTAATGTTTCGAGGCCCGGACAGGATCAGCGCCGCTGCGCAGCAGTGCAGCGGTGCTCTGGCGGAAGCCCTGAAACTACGGTTGATGATATAAGTCCTAAAGGCATCTATAGGGGTATCTTTACGGGGTTCCTTTCAGGGATCTGTAGCGTTTGAGGGTTTAGGGTTGAGGGTGATGATATACATCCTGCATTACCTTAAGGACCCTAAACTATGGGAAATATGGTGTATTCCTTAGTATGGGTAATGCAGGATTTATATCATCAACCGTAACGGTCTAGACTTTTCTAAACTGGGCTCTTGTTGAGGAGTTTAATTTAAGCTACCATAATAGGGATCTATTTTGGCTCCTTTAAGGGATCTTACAAGGCCCTTCAAGGGTTCTATAAGGGTTTAAAGGTTAGGGAATTTAGTTCAAGCTACCATAAAAGGGATCTATGGGAAACAATATGGTTTCGAATCATGGTAACTTAAACTAAGTTTCTTAAGATTAGCCCAGTGATGGGCCAGTCCTAAAACCGTACTGCGCTAGATCTCTGAATCCTAAACCCCCTCCCCCAAGTACCCAGAGAGCCCAATACCCCTTAATTAAGAAATATAGCCTAAATCATAATATGAAGCCCTACATAATTTAAGCCATATTCCTGAATTAAGGGGTATGAGAATCCCCGAAACCCTAAACCCTATAGATGCCTTAGAAGATCCCTTAAAGGAACTATTATAGACCCCTTTAAAGGAAACCCAAGGACCTTAATTAAGGGTCCTTGGGCTCCCGGGGCAGCCCTAATCCCCGAACCCTAAACCGCTACAGCGCTTGCAGATTCGAGGGCTCGAGGCCTCACAGCTTCTGGTTTGGGCATGTGGAGTTTAGGGTTTAGGGTTTAGGGTTTAGGGTTTAGGGTTTAGGGTTCAGGGTTCAGGGTTGGGATAGGATGAAAAATCCAAGTTTTTATTCCTTATTGGGTTTAAGTACCCACAAAAATGTAGAATGTTACCCGACTATGACAAAGGTTTAGTGTGTAGATTTGAGAGTTTGAGCTTTGAGACCCAGGTCCAAGGTTGAGGGCTTGGGAAGGTGTGCGGAGCAAGGTTAAGGGTTTCAGTTTCACCTCCTTGGCCTACTGAACCACACCAAAAACAGCCTAACGGCCTGAAACCGCAAGCGCTGAAGCCTAACCCCTCACATATGAAGCCTCTGAAACTCAAGTCTCTGGGGTACCTTCACTCCCGAGAGGTGCCTTTACTCCCAGAGAGCCTAAACCCTAAAATATCCCCCAACCCTACCCCTCAACCCAAAAAAACCCTAACCAAGCAACCCACTGCCATGGGGTCAAAATCGTGCTGGAGCCTGAAAATGCTGAATAATAACAAGGGTTGGGGCAGTACGGGGAGATTAGCACGAAATAGCCAGGCTACATTGCCACATTCAACCCTAAAGCCCTGCCCTTTGAAAACCTAGATACCCCTACATTGGCCATACATAAACCCTAGAGTACCCTGAGCCAACAAACACTCGAAAGACCTGATCCTCCTGATTCCAAAAAGCCCTTAACCCTAAACCCTAAGCCCTTAACCCAAATATTAAACCCAACATCCTAAACCCTAAACCCTAACCCTACACCCTAAACCCAAAATAGGGTCCTGAATCGGTAGACTAGGTGTTTGTGGGTGGAATGGGGAGGGTTCATACTACTATAAGAGTGATAGAGTGAGAACCCCACGAATGGTAGCAGCAATTTCCCAAGCTTCCTGTAAAGCTGTCATATTCAACCCTCGAATACCCTACAAACACCCCGAAGACCTGCCAAACCCCCTTTTGACAATCCCTCTGACCCTCCTGAGCCCTAAGCCACATTCAAATGACTAAGGCTCCTACACAGCAAGTTTAGGGTTTAGGGTTCAGGGTGTAGGAGTTTAGGGGTTTAGGGTTTAGGGTTAAGGGGTTTAGGGTTTAGGGTGTTATTTCCACGGTGGGCCTTGGCCGAAGCGTAGATCAGGGCCGTGTTGCCGTTCTCATCTGTGGCATCAATCAAGTCCGCATAGCCTGGGACATGAGATCTTTCGGGGGCATGGATGTAATTGCAGGGAACTCCAGAAAGTTGGAATATGGTGTCATGGTAGGATACCCTATGATTTACCATAGAAGGGTTAGGATAATCATATTCCAACTTTCTGGCTTTTACCTGTTATGAACTGTGGGGGATATAGGCTTAAGACTCTGCGTTTGGGTTTATGGCTTCTTTAGGATGTAGGTTGGTTGGGGGTTTCCTAACACTCGCTAAAACATGGGCCTTGAAAATCAAAAAGAGGATTTGGGTCATACTAAACAGTATGATAATTCAATCAAGTAGGGATCATAAGGGGACGCGGCTGCTGTTTCTTCAGAAACCCGTTCATTAGCTCATATCCGATAGAGGCCCATATGAAGACCCAGTAATTACCAAAGATACTTCCTTTATTCCTAAACCCTAAACTCTAAACCCTAAACCCTAAACCCTGGATTGCTTACACGACTGACTTGCTTCGGTTTAGGGCCTAGGCTTACCATAAAATGGACTTTGCTGACTACTATAAGGTTACATAAGTTAAGGGGGCTTGGAACCCAGGCTTAGCGTTAAGGGCTTAAGTACATAATTGGAACCCTACTTGGGGGATTGATGATCAGTTGGGCCCACGTCGAGGGTATCTTATTGGGCTCATCTATTCCGCAACTAAGACCTTTACCTATGAAACGGCCTCGATGCGTCATCAGTCATTTCATCACTTGGTCCTCGGGCCAAGATCCTGGTTGTACAGCAGAGCATTGACGATCTGCCTCAGCTGCGACGACTACATTGCACTACCATTACGTATTTCATGTAATTACCTTGCACAGGGTCTATAGTATGATAAGACCCTCTGAACAAGTCGACGATGGTAATTTGAAGTAGTACCTGCACGGTTTCGTGTGGGGTCGGAGGTTTGGGGGTTGGGCTTGCGCCGTCGCGTTCGGGTCTGCGCGTTGTGCTTGAACCTATGCAATAACCACGGTTTCTAATGTCCCACGCCCTAAACCCTAAACCGCTTTAGGGCTTAGGGCTAGGGTTAAAGCAAACATAAACCTAAACCCCAAACTTCTCGCTAGATGCACGAGCCGGGCCAACATCACACAAACACTCAACCGGTTTCTGGCACCCTTAAACACTAAACCCTCCATAATGTATGCAGGTCATGGGATCCTGAAATGGCTGGAAAGCCACCACACAACTAATTACGGTACGAAACTACCTATAGCCTTCGTGGTAGGTCCTTCTCGGGCTTACCTTAGACGATCCTAACTACAAAAGTGGCACAACCAAAAAATGAACTGCATTGGAAACTACAAACATGCACTCTTGATTCCTTGCGCACAAAAGTATGCCTACTTTCCGGGCTTCGAACCTAGAGTTTCTACTGTGTTCACGGCCGGTGGGTCGAAGTCAACGTCTGGAAGGTTCAGGGGTGCGTGTTGGGTATAGAACCGTTTAGCAACCTTCGGCTTAGGGTTTTAAGGGTTTCGGGTTGAAAGATGTTGGAGGGGTTCTTGAGGCTAAACCCTACAAACCTTTTTGAACCCTTCAAGCACTAATTTTTCAAGCCTCCAAACTCTTTCCCAACGCTTGCGCGCCCGAGGCACGGATAGCCGTCGTGAGTGGCGAAGATCAGGGCAGCATCCCCATAGTGTTGCACCTGGGGTTTCGTAAGAGGGCTAACGATGACGAAGCTTTCGTGGTTAGGGTTTCGCTGCACCGGCGGGCTTCGCAACTAGAGGACAAACGGTTCAGGGTTTAGGGTTGCCAAAAGGCCCCGCTCCCGGCTTTTGCCTAAGTCCATACAGCAAGACCCAGGGTCACCCATCAAAAGACGTCTCAGCCGAAGGCATACTGATCCAGGTAGCCAGGAACCTGCCGCAGAGGTCAAATCTACGGGTCAAAGCTTCGAGCAGGATAGGCGTGTATACTTTGCCTTCATCATTATCATAGTCGGGCCAGTACTACGGGATTTGCGATAAAGGGTCCAAGTGGTGCATACCGACCTGCATTTCTATTACCCCAGACCCAAGGACCCCGTTATTGTGTGCAGTGGAATTTGGGGGTTAAGTGGTCTGGTACTCACTTGCTGCGCGGCGTTTAGGGTTTAGGGTGGGTAAATGTTGAAACTAGGGTTCCCTTGTCCAAAGCCACGAGAACACCACGCATCTGCTATTATGACCCCAAGCGAAACCCTGCTTTAGATTCCCATCCATGCTCCCTAAACCCTAAACCCTAAACCCTAAACCCTAACTACGGGGCATCGTGCGCTTTGGGACACCATGCTGTTCTAGAGGCAGAAGCCCAGAGACCCACAAGCCCTGAAGCTGAAAAATCCTAAAACCTTCAAGTTGCTGAGACCTATAACACGGGGGCGTTAGGGCTTGGGGTTTTAGGGCTTTAACTGCTTTTAAGGGGGGGGGGGGGGGGGCTTGGGGTTTAGGGCCGTTTAGGGTTTAGGGTTTGTGGCAAACCGCTGAGCACCAACAAGCACGAAGCCTGGTCGGTAGGGAGGCGCATCTCCTGCCGCCGCGCGCATGTAGGCTTTAACTCTTGTGCAGTCTTGTGCCAAGTACAGCCCCCAAAACCCCAAAACCCGGCAAAACCCTAACCCAAAAAGCCCCAAATCCTTAAGCCCAAAAACTGAAGCCCTGAAGCCCTCACTGTCCTGTGCGGCGCCCATCTGCTGCACCACGGGAGCTCCTGCGACCGGACCCGGAAGCCGAAAAGGACCTAAACCCAAAACCTCCTCGGTAACTCTCTAAAAACCCCCAACTCAAGGCTTAGGGGCTGAGTACCCTCGCCCAAAAAAAGGTTAATCTTTTCAACTATGGTAGGATTATAAAAGCCCCATTGGGGAGCTACTTCTTCGGGCTGTCGTTGGCAGCCTCTGAACACTGTGCTGATGCGGCTTAAACGGAAGCACATGATGTCTCTGGCTCAGCCCTAGACCCTACACCCTAAACCCTACATCCTAAACCCTAAACCCTGAACCCTACACCCTAAACCCTACACCCTAAACCCCTAAACCCTAAACCCTAAAAACAGACCAGCAGATACAGAGTACAAGGTGGAAGCAGGGCTCGTACGCAAGGCGACTCCCATCTCTCTGGAGGATAGTAACCGAAACCTGGCAATCAAAGGGGAAAAGGAGGGATCCTTTAAAGGGATCTATAGGGATTCTATAAGGGTATAGGGTTTAGGGTTTAGGGGTTTGGGGGTTTGGGGGTTTTGGGGTTCAAAGGGGAAAAGGAGGGACCCTTAAGGGGGACCCCTACCCTATAATGGGCTATATAATGGGTATATAATGGCTATATTAAGGGTATATTACCTAGGGGTCCTTAGTAAGGGTCCCTCCTGTTCCCCTTGGAGCCAAAGCTGGGTAGCAGAGAACGACGACATTCATAGGGCCACGCCCAGACCTTTGGCTTGCAACCGCGAGGGCTCTAAACCCTGTTCCGTCATAAAGAGGCCTTGTTGATTTAGACTAGGGCTTTGAAGTAAAATTACAACATAGTTTGAAGGGCGAGCCCTATGGAACGGCAAGGCTTCTACATTCAATTCCAAGAGTTTGGGTTGAACTCTTCAGGGCAAACCCTGAACCCTAGAACCCTGGACCCCTACACTCCGAAACCCTAAACCCTAAACCCCTAAACCACTAAACCCTAAAACGCTAAACCCCTAAACGCTAAAGTCCTGCACCCTAAACCTCAAAACCCTGAACCCCTCAACACTAAAACCCCAAAACCCCTACAGATCCGTTCATAGAGCCCTTATGGATCCCATAAAGTTACCCCCTGCAGATCCTTCAAGGAACCCTGAAGCCCGTGGTTCTTCAGGGCTACGTCCTCGATTCATCCAGCTAAAAATCCAGGAGAAAGGGCTCAGAAGCCAGGACCTTGGTTCAGGGCTTATATAGATTTCGGTTTACATTTCTAGACTTTAGAATGGAACAGGCTTTTCGGGAGCTGCTTGGGGGTTTAGGGTTTGGCTTTAAGGGCTCACAGTAACCGAAGCTCTGAACCCGAATTCCTTCAAGCCAAGACCCGAATGCCCCACAACCGTTCATCAGCCCTCCAGCTCCGAACCCTAAACCAGAGAGCCCAATACCACTTAACTAAGGAATATGGCTAAAATTTTATAGGGCTTCATAGTATGATTTAAGCCATGTTCCCTTAATTGAGGGGTATTGGGCTCTCTGGGAAACCCGGAACTGCCAGCGAATGAGACTCTGGATTCTCTAAGTCAGGACCCTACATAGATCTGTCATGGACTGGTCTTGAAAAAGCAGACGGCTGAAGATGTCGGTGCAATCAGAATCGACTGTCGGCAAACGTCTCCATGTTCTACTGAAAGTGTCAGGACGCAGCACCTTAAACCCTAAGCCCCAAAAGCTGAACCCCTAAAACCCTGAAGCCCAAACCCCCAATCCCTAAACCCCTACCACACCTAAAACCCCCAGGCCCCTAAAACCCCTAAAACCCCTAAAACCCCTAAAACCCCTAAAACCCGCAAAACGCCTAAAGCCCCTAAAACCCGTAAAACCCCTAAAGTTCTAAAATGCCTGAAACGCCGAAATCCCCTAAACCCCCTGAACCCCTAAAACCTCCAAAACCCCTAAATTTAAGGACCTCAAAAACCCTGAAACACCCTGCAAGACCCTAAAACCCCGAAACCGTAAAATCCCCACAACCCTTAAATCCTACAAGAAGCTCTGTTTAGTTCATGGCATTTCCATGAGTTTCAACATCTCTAATTCGCAATTCCAATCGTGATAGAACGCTGTGCTTAGAAGATCGGAGGGCTCAGGGGCTCGAGCTAAAACAGGGAGCCATGTCCACGGGTGTGCGGCTTAGGGCTTGGGCTTAAGGCTTAGGGCTTAGGGTTTAAGGCTTGGTTTAAGGGGTGGTGTAGGGTTCGGGGTTTAAGGTGTAGGGGTTTAGGGTTTAGAACTTAGGGTTTAGGGTGTAGGGTATAGGGTGCAAGGTATTGGGTTTAGGGTTTCAGGTTTAAGGGTGGTATCGGTTCTGACAGCAGAAACGGACTGCGAAACAAAGGCCCCAAGCCCCAAAACTTCATGTTGCCATCGAAAACCCTGCCAAGCCCCAAAACCAAAACAGCAGACACACAACAACCAAACCCCCTAACCCCACCCCCTACCGCCCTAACTCTTAACCCAACACCCCCAAAATTTGCCAAAGCCCTGCCGCCTAAACCCTTAAAGCCTAAAAGCCTAAACCTCCGGAAGCCAACAAGACAACAAACTCCAGGGCTCCCCGGCAGCGGCGGGTAGGAGAAGAGGCCACCGAGAAGATCGACCCTTCGAGTGTTGTGGGGGTTTAGGGTTTACCTGGAATCTAAAGAACCTACCCTTTTAAGGTTCCTTATTTTGGTTTCCTTGTATAAGTCCTTTAAAAAGTAAGTTTTCTGGGGCCTAAGATTTAGGCAGGACCCCCCAAAGGCCCTCTAATAGAGTTATAATGGCTTTGGATAGTGGGTAGGGTCTATTCGAGGGTAGTTGGGGGTATAGGGGTTTCTGAGCCATTACATCAAGGTTCAGGGTCTGAGGTTTTAGGGTCTACGGGCTTGGAGTTTAGGGTCTAATTAGGTTTTTAAGGCTTGGGGTGTAAGGACTGACTAAGGCTTCAAGGTTTAGGCTTCGTTTGAGGTTTGGGTTCTGAACCTTTGGTAGCCTTTAGGGTTTAGGGCTTGTGCGCACAGGGTTTCCGATATATGTTACGACTGTTACGACTCTTATGGTTTCAGCGATTTTTTAGGTTTGCATGGGACGCCTCACGGTTTTTGAAACGGGGGCTGTTATACGTTTTACCCAAGGTTCTGTAGGGTCTTATGGAGTCTATGGTGGAGGATGGTACGTAACTACTAGCGTTTAGGGTTATGGCTAATGAATATTCATCCTCTGCATTAGGCTCGATGACGTGTGTTCTGGCGTTTTGGGCCACTGCAGTTTGCGCGCCAACGTATCGTAATAGTCAACCACTATGGTACGACGGCACCCCTCAGTGGGGGAAACAGCGGATGAGTCAAGACCGGCATGGCAAACGAACGCGTCCAACTGATGTGCATAAAGAGAAGAGAGTTCGCAAAGGGCAGATTTCAAAGTCCTCACGCGGAAGGTCCCCCAACAAGCTAATGCAATGGCTCACCATCAATATCACCGCTTGTGCTCACATCGGCCGGTGCATTAGGAGCTGTCTCACCAGACACCCACAATAGTTCGCCGACCAACCGTTGGGCATGGTTCAAAACGGGCTTTATCCGGCGGCATACGTGTTCCTGTTCATCATCGGGTGTAGGGTCCGCGGGACTAAGACACTCAGGCTTAGGGCGTAGCTTGCAGGTCCCACAAAAGGGCTTACGGCTTCAGGGATTCGTTCGAGTTGAGGGTTTAGGAGTTCGCTCCCAGAAACAGAACGGGCCTCTGGGGGGGTTGAATGGGCTTCGTTGAGGCGGATTTGTTTGTTTCAGGGGTCTGTCACGGGGTATTATTCGTGGATTGTAGAGTTTTAGTGCGGTTTAGGGTCCAGCGTTCAAGGGGTTAGGGCTGAAGGTCCTGAACTGAGGAAAACACCAGAAGCGAGATTTATACTATGGATCTTCATAGCACCCAGGGTCTATTCCCCAATAAAGGACTTCGTGGGTGTTCTGGAACCAGGGCTCCAAGTGAGCCCAACCGTTCTAGGAGGTAGGGATATATCAAACCCATGAAGCATAAAGCCCAAGCAAGCCATAAACGAGACTGTAAACATGGGGTTTCGCATCCGAGACCTGAAGCACGAAGCTCTGGAGGCAAACCGGCATAGAACCCAAGAAAGGTCTTGTGAAAAGGCCCTATGTCGAGGAATGTATAGATCGCTCTCGGTCCCCACCAACATCGCCCACAGTGAACCCTAGAAAGTTGGAACGTGGATTGAAGATGACATGTGCAGGGATTCCCTACACGTTGTCTCAAGGGCGTGAGGATAATGATGTTCGATTTACTCTAAACCGAGGAGTAAAGAAAGGAGTTTAAACGAAAAACACTTCCTGCCACATTAGTGCTACTGCTATACGACCTCTAGCATCATCAGGATAGCAGTCATACATGGTAACACTGACCGTCATGACCGTTATGGACACCCTGGCAATGGCAATAGCGAAACGGGCCTTACTACTAAAGTACAACAAGCATAACAAGGAGTATCACAGGAGAAACAATTGCACTCATGTGCAAAGACCCTAAAAATCCCTAAACCCCACACCACTCCCACACCGTACTTGGAGGTTCGTGGGTAGTTTGAAGCAGGGTGTATACGTCGGATTGCTATACTAATAACCTATATTGGGGTGCAACTCTACTTAAAACTAAACCTGGACCTCCAAGTACACCCTAAACCTTGTCGGAAATTTGAGCTCATACTCCGCAGATGTTATATAAGGCTTCAAACTCGGTGCGTAAGCGCCCAGCACAAGCCCCTACACCCTAAAAGTCAGGTCTTACTTACGGACTAGGCTGATCAGGGTTGAGGGTTTCAAGTCCAGAGTTCAGGCTTTGGGGCCTGACAAGAACCTTAAACTTAGGGTTTAGGGGTTTAGGGTTTAGGGTTTAGGATTTAGGGTTTAGGGTTTAGGGTTTAGGGTTAGGGTTTAGGGGACTACTAAACGCTCACACCAGGGCCCCTGCACAAGGTACAGCGGCCACATGTAGTCGTATCCCACGAGCACACCTATAGCCAGAGAGTTCAACCCGAAGACTGGGGCTCGTTGGGGCTTAACTGGGCTCTTGCTGAGGAACTTAATTCAGATTAAGCTACCATAACAGGGCTCTGTAATACATACATATAGTTTCTTTGTGGTAAACTTCATGCCCTAAACATTAATCTATCCCTTGTTAAGCTATTTAGCTTAAGTTGCCATAAGTGGGCTCTAAACTCCGCACAAGGACCCAGTTCATGCTTGTGAGTTCCGAAGCCCTGTAGGGTTTAGGGCTTAGGGCTTAGGGTGTAGGGTTTTGGTATGTTTCGGTCTTTGCTGTTCAAGTTTCCTAGCCCCTTTTTTGTCTTCGCTGTGTGCAGGCTTTAGGCCTCGAGGGTGCAAAAGTCGGAGTTTAAAGTATGTTTTAAAGTTGAGGGCTTACGGCGGGTTTTCGGGTTTCGGGCATACGGCTCAGGGTTTGAGAAGGGCTTTGAATTTAGTGTTCGAGGTCTATGGTCCCTGAACCCTACATAGAAGCCGTACGACTCGCTCAGTTTCGACATGAGCAAGCACTCAATATCAACACTGCATGCTTTCCATCAACCGTAGGCTAGCAGGCTAGCATTACGCTTCCGAAAATAAAGTTGTGATATCACGGTCAGCATCATTGATACTCTTGCCGTTGGAGTGCTAGGGGTGGCTCTATGTATACCCTTAGCATCATCGGGGCTAGTGTCAGCGTCAGCGTCACCATTGGGGCCAATGTAGGAGCTAATGGCAAGGTTGGCTCCACATATAGTACCTTTCTGGGGTTAATCACCAAAACAATCATAAGAATGGTCCCTTGGGTCCTACAACTTCTACACCCTAAACCCTGATTCCGTAATAGCAGAGATGTTCTTGGAAAAAGTAGGATTCAGTCAATCAAAGGGATTCTGCTCACTTTCCGTAGGGTCGTACTTGCGGGTCTTACCCTGCTTCTCGCAAAACCTAGCCCATTTGATGCGTCGCCTGCGCTCGGACTCAGGCTTGCGCTTCTGAGCTACCGCGGCTCGCATCGGGGTGTCTAGCTCCCCGGCTCGCAGCTCTGCTTGGAAGCGCCGCAGGCTGTCCTTTGCCGCCTCATTCATTTGAAAGTTGAGGTGACTGGCTGCGTCGGCCTGGTCGCGGACCGGGTCTTGCACACCTGCGCCGGCACCTTCGGCAACCTGTTGGGCCGCTCGGTGTGCCTTAATGGGGACCCCTACCCTATAGTGGGGCTATATAATGGGTATATCATGGCTATTTTTCGGGTATATACCTAGGAGTCCTTATTCGGAGTCCCTCCTTTTACCCTTGGAGTCAAGGCTCAGAGTCATTCACTCGTATTTCCAGGGCTTCGGTCTGAGACTTCAGCGAAGTTTAGGGCTCAGGGCTTAGGGTTACTTTGGGAGTCAATACTAGGGTTTAGGGTTTAGGGTTTAGATACTGCGCTTTGGGTACAGTAGACAGAGTTACCTTCATCCTTGGCGAAATTATCTCTTGGAGTATCTGCATACACTACACTGCCGCAAGGAATGTGAACATGAAGGTGGCTGCCCACATAGACATGCGCTCCCCTCGAAACCTCAAAACCTACGTGTAAGCCTGGCTCATACACCAGAAGCCTAGGCGTGGGAGGATCGCTGCACCTCGGGGTAGTTCTTTGGGGGTTTAGCTCACATATTGCCGATAGCTAGGTAGATAGACAAATGGATAGATGGATGGGTGGATGGATGGATAAGTCTTGGTGGTTCAAGGTAGGGTCAGGAGTACGGCTGATGATAGAAACCCTGCATTACCCACAACAAGGAATATACCATAATTCCCGTCATTAAATGCAGGATTTTTATCATCAACACTAGCTCCAAAAGCTCGTGGGCTCATCTTCCTGGTCCCAGCGGCCCAATAGCCAGATTCCCCCAACGGCTGCAGCGACCTGCTAGCATGAGCTTCAAATCTCGGGTTCAGGGCTTTGTTGGGTGTTACAAGGGTTTAGGGTTTATATAGTTTCATAGGATGTCAAAGGTTTTGGGCTTTCAGATTTAAGGGTGCTACAGGTTTCGGGGCTTACAAGATTTTAAAAGTTCAGTATTGCGGCGGTCTTGCTTGACCTATTCTGCCTGTTCTGCTCGATCGAAGATCCTTCAACCACAACGACACCCGACACTGGACACGCTACTAAACCAGGCTTCCTAGACCCTGGACCCCAAACAGCCATCGCTTGAACTAGAACCTGCTGAAAGACCCCGCACATCGGGTTTAGGGTTTCTACAATATTTAGGGTTTAGGGTTTAGGGTGTTTATACTAACAGAGCCTGAAAATTACAGATGCCTGCACATACACCCCGAATATACGACCCTAACTCAGGTTACCAAAGTTGTACCGGGGCTACAAGTACACTTGTGATTAGGTACGTATGCACCAGGTCAAGGACCGGTAAGGGACACCAGCAAGAACCGGTCTGGAACTTCCTTACACAGCCCTCTGAGAGCCCTGAAGCCATTCCAAACCCTAAAACCTGAAGCCTGAACCCTAAACCCTGAACTCTAAACCCTAGATGTAGCGGTTACTGCAAGCGAAGCTCAAACCGGCCTAAGCCGCTCACGCTTTTTCCTGCTATGCTGCATCGCTTCGCCTTGAGCCAGCGTCCACAGCCGGCATCTGCACAAAGGAGAAGCTGCTCTGCAGCGATCCTGAAAGACATGCCACAGCAGCACTTCTGGTCAATGGAGTTATCCTAAAGCATTAGGATCCTCGGAACAGTTCCCCCCACTTAACGTTGACCAGAATGCCGTGTGGGCCGCTTCGTACTCCTGGGCCAATCGCGCCGCAGAGGCAGAATGGCTCCTACGGCGGAAGCGAACATCCTCTGCCCGCTGTCGTAGCTCAGTCTCCACATCCACCAAGCTAAGCTGCCCTGTTTTGAGAAAGCAATCCATGGCGCCGTTGCTTCGGAGAGGGTCGGCCTTCGTCAGGGCATCAACCAACATTTTTTGATGCGGAGTCCACCGCACCATGGACTTCGTTTCCTGCAAATCTTTCACTATGATGGCGAGTTCGAGGGCCGAGCGACGATCTTGACGGCCTTGAGGATGCTCCTTCAGTAGGCAGTCAAACAGGCTCTTGGCGTCCGTAACGCTGCACTGAGGCTGACGATCCGGAGTCTCGATGGCAGACCTCATCACGAGCATGTGAGGACTAAGGCTGTTTCTCCAGCTTCGTAGTTGGACATCTCCGTACAAGGCGTCTCTCAGCATGATCTGGAGCCAATCGCCTTCAGCCAAGCCCTGAAGCATCGCCTGCGTCTCGCCTCCGAAAGTTGAGTACACCTTGCGCTTGAGCTTACTGCTCCGCCAGCTGATGGGAGAGGCTCGAACCTTCTGATCTCCAATTGGAAGCCCTTCAGAGGCAACCACCATCCATGCGCCTTGAGTCGCATCAGCTAGCAGGCCGATCTCATCCTCCATCTCGTGCTTGGATCCGATGCCTCCGGCGTCAGAGATGATCACAAAGGAGATGTCGGAGGGTCGGATCTTCCAGATGGTGAGAGGTCGCGACGCTGTGTTTCTGAGATGGTTCACACAGCGGTTCACCACCAGGGCATCGTCCACTGTCGCTCGGTCGAGCTTGCTCGCCATGATGGAGGAGAGCCCGCACATCTCTGGGCGACACTCCTTTCCAACCCAACTGATCCGGTAGATGGTTGAGCGGAAGGCGGCAAACTCTTCGGGAGTCAGCTTTTGATCCTTGGCAGCTCGGCGACCTTTCGCCAGGTGGATGGGCTGTAGCTGCTCGAGGATGTACTTCTCCTGATCCACCAGTATTCGATCATTGAGTACTCTGATACGACGACCGGCGTAGTCGGCCTGGTCCAGCTCCCACTTCCCAAACTTGAACCGAGCCTCAAAGGAAGAGCGCAGCTCGTCACGGATCTTCGGGTCAGTGGAGATGATAAAGTCATCCACTTCCACCAAGACCTGCGCCTCGTTGTTCCCAGAAGCATCATGTCGAAAGAACCAGCAGGGCTCGACCAAGCTTCTGGTGAATCGCATGTCCTCGACTAAGAAGCGGGTCACCGTCTCGCGCCATGCCGCCGGTGCGTCATCAAGACCGTACACCGGAATCTCGATCACGATGAGAGCTCCGGCCGGAAGATTGAGACCCTCGCACGGCTCGGCAAAGAGAGGACCACGAGGTCGTCGGAGAGGAAGAGACTGGCAGAAGGCGTTCTTCACGTCGCAAAAAGCGAAGCAGTGGTTTAGGCTGAGGCCGCACTGCAAGAACATCATCATGGACTCGGCCTGGGGAGTCGGCGCAAACGTCATCAGTTGGCCAGTGTCCGGATCAGCGTGCCCATGAAGACACCAGCGGCTCTTGGCCTTCCACTGATGAAGATCACCCGTAGGTTTCTTACGACGAACCATCCTCGAACTCACAATCCTGTCGGGATACTTCGCTCGCAGGCGCTGCGCTTCAGCTCCCACTGCCACTCGAACCGCCTTGGTCTTCAAGATGGATTCCCACTCAACAATGTCGGACTGCAGAAACATCTCCTGCTCCTGCTTCGCCAACTTCTTGATGTCCACCTCGTCGTTCCGGTTGGCCAGCATGACCCATCCTCGCTCCTCTTTAAAGGAGAACCAAGAGGAACTTGACGACGGTCTCGAGTCCGTGAAGAGGTCATCTAAGTCGAGGGATTCCTCATCAGAGACGGCAATCACCTCATCGGACCCTGACGTCTGTCGTCCTCGGCGTAGCGCTTGTAGTAGAGGCTGAAGAGGAGTGCCAGGAGCTCGGGTTCCCCTGGGATCTGTGGAGCTCGAGGATCCGCCAATCTGCTCTCGTCGTTGAACCTTGAGAGGGGGCTCAGAATCCGTGGCTGCAGCACCTCCCTGATTCTCCACCTCCTCCTCCTGAATCGGGGCCAGGTTCATGGTCACCTCGGGCTCCTGAGCTGAGCTGGGAGGTGATGAGATTCCAAGATCTG